TACTGTAGCCGCGCGCATAATAACAATTATTAAGTGTTTCAAATTCGCCGAATTGTGAAACAAAATTTCAATTTTTCTCATTTTATTTGAAGTCTAGTCTGAAATTACATATTTGAAATTATACATAGAACTAAATATCAATGCATTTATGATTTCTTGAAAATTCGTTTTCCTTCTGGAATCAAACAGGAAATGAAGTCATAGCTGTGTGCGCATGTGTGTTGTGTTTCGCGCCTACACCGTCCACGCTTGGTTAACTCGTTAATTCCGCGTCGACGCTCGCGAAACGCGTCACGTTTATAACGTCATCGTTCTCAATATTAATCTTCATCTCTAGAATAAATTCATCTCGAAAACAATTCAAAGAAAACACATTTTCTCCAAAATCGGCATTAAAATTAAACCTAAAACACTCTATATATATTTCCGGTAGTGACAATATTCTTCACCTTTAAGTTCAACTTTACTCTAACTCAAATGTCGACGCTCACGACTTGTGAGAACTTTTAGAAACAATAAAATATTTAAAATTTCACCAAAAGAAAAGCACATAAATATTGCCAACGCCAAGCGAACAAACAACAAAGTTCGTGACGGTCGTGAGAATGAAAACGAAAATAAAAATAAAACAAAAATTCAGTCATGCACGCCGTAACCACCATAGCTCAATAGATAACAATATAAAAAGTGAGGCGACACCTACAGTAAAAATTCCATTCAAATGACATTCGACTAGATCTCGAATGAAATGTAATAACACGACGAGTACCTACCTACTAGTAATAGCTAATAATTTATTCGAGGTGGAATCACTTGAAGCGTTTGAATCGAATGTGATACTGATACATATAATTTATTTCCTTGTGTTATAAAATTAAAGCGTTTTTTTTTTACTTTTAGCTTTAACATGAATGCATTCTACTATTTTTTGTAGGTGTTGTGCTGTAGCTGAATTGCGTGTGCGTACTGCGTTTCATTTTATTTTTTATTACAGTTTATGCATTGTCGTCTTGTCGCATTGTGTGCTACGTAATAAATTTATAATATTGGTTTTAACGACAATAATAGTAACCTAGATATAATTACGTAAGCCTATGCTGTAATATATAACATATATTATTGAATCTTTTAAAATCAAATATAAAAATTAATCACAAAATGTGTTAGTAAGCGCATAACTCAACAACGCCAAGATCAATTTGGCCAATTCTTTTTTAAAATGTCCGTTAAAGTCCCAGGAAGGTTTTTACGGCGAGAAAAAGTCGAAAAATTGCCGGGAAAACCCTAAAGACAGCCCTTTTCTATAGGATAAAAGTTGGCATTGAGATTCAATTATAGCTATAGTTAAATAGTTGAATCCGAGATGGCGCCCTGAAGTGCATTATTAGCAATTCTTTTATGCATAATTTCTTTAAAATAAAATTACGAATCTTATTGATAGAATTGACACATACTATGCCTGGACAAGAGAGTAAAAACAAATTACATTTTTATTAAACACTACTGAGACGAAGTCTCGGGCAACAACTAGTTCGATTAGAAAATTAAATTTTTAAATTGAAAATATAAAAAGAAACAAAAAATAAAAAACTGAAAAATTTACATATTTACATGTGCTTTGATTCCTTGAATAAATTCACACTTCGCTTGCTGAGTCCAAGTTATTTAAACTAATTTGCGTTAACTTGTGTTGAGTGCCAAGTCGTCGCTAATTATATAAGCTGCAAGCTGCATAATTAATTGCGCAACTTGCGCTCTTTGGCGATTTGCAAATTATTCACTTTCTAAGGCAATTGGCTCGCATTTCAAGTTCAAACTCGACTTCAACATCTTCATCAACTGCATTTTCATGTTTTTACGTTTTTTAAAGAAGAGTGGATTTGAGAAACTATTTGCACTTATTAGACATTCAGGTATTTCAACGTCGGGAATGAATTGATACCACTAATTACTCTTTGGAATTTTATAAAAGTGCAGCGCGCGTTCTTCGCGACAAGTTAATTTGACTTCGACTTTATTGAACGCAGTAAGATGACGAGTTTTTACTACTGAAGGTTATGAATCAGTTGAAGTATTGATATCGAACTGCTTAATTAAAATGTTAGAGAATCGTGAGTCGTAAATTTTTTATTTCCTTCCATTTCATTTCATCACTTGATTACTTTATTACCTTCTATGGATGTGTCTTTAGAAGCAAATTATTAAGATTAAAAATGTTTAAATTAATAAACTTTTTTCTTTTTGTTGTTAATCATAAATTTTGTTTTGTATCCGACACTTTTATTGTTTATTATTTGAGCTTTTTGTGAGATTTATGATTGTTATAGCCATCAAAAGTTTTTAAGCACGTTGAACAATCTTCAATGCTCAAAGTTGACAAAGTTTAACAGTTTCGTGGAGTTTTGACAAAGTTTTAGCCTCAAGTCTGCAATATGCCATAAATTCTTTAGAGAAAACACGAACTCGCGACAAATTTCTGATGGTGGCAATTCGTGTTTCAAAATTTATCACAATTATATTTTAAAATTTATTTAAATGTTTCCTCATAAATACTTGAATAAAACTAATAATACATGGCTATATATCAGTTTGGGATGTATGGGAATTTGCTCGAGTTTGATAGTTCGAAACACGCAAGGCGGCTGAACATAAAATTAATTGCACAACGCGAACGCGCCTCGAAAACCACACAAAACAATAATGTTCGAAATGCATCAATACAAATCAATATACATCACTTTACATCACATATTCTATTTCGAGCAAAGCACTTTGCATTTATACTAACACGCCGGACACGAATATTAGATGAGCTAATATCTACGCCTTATAAAATGCTAGCATCGCTAAAGCACTCTAAATATATATTTTTTTATGGCGATATTGAATAAATTATATCAATAGTGTGATTTTGCGTAGTGTGACATCTATAATATAAAAATAAATCGCAAAATATGTTGGTAAGCGCATAACTCAACAACGCCTAGACTAATTTGACCAATTCTTGTTTTAAAATGTTCGTTGAAGACCAAGGAAGGTTTTTACCGCGAGAAAAATTCGAATTATTGCTGGGAAAACCCTAAAGACAGCCCTTTACTACAGGATAAAAGTTGGCAATGAGATTCAATCACAGTTATAGTTAAATAGTTTAATCCGAGATGGCGCGCTGAAGTGCTTTATAAGCTATTCTTTATATAATTAGTTTCTTTAAAATAAAATTGCGAATCTTATTGATAGAATTGACACATACCTACTATGCCTAGAACAAAAGAGTAAAAACGAATTACATTTTTATTAAACACTACCGGGACGAAGTCGCGGGAAAAGCTAATACATAAATATAACCTATAAATGACCATTTTTATTATTTTTCTCATATTAAATCAAAAAATGTTTAAATTTCCGTTGAAATTTTTATTTCCTGCAAATTTTCTAAAATTTCGATTTTATTATGCACTTAATAAGGTTTCTAAATTTTTAAATTAACATAATTTGCATTGAAAACAAGATTAGATTATTTTGTTACAATTTGTTTGATGTAATTCCGTTTGAATTTATTTTCTTGAGTTCCGTGTGCAATTCCTAGTTCTTTCTGTTCACGAGAGTGTGAAAACGAATGAAAGTTAGCGTGCGCACAGCGCATTTACGTAAGATTTATGTTTAATAACGTTTAATAATGCGCCGATGTGCGAATGAATATGGTCGCCGACTTTGGCGAAATGTGGGAGAAATGTGCAATTTTGCAAACGCGCCGACATTGTCTTGCATTACGCGGCACGCGACTTTCTATCGGCGCACACTTTTCACAATTCAAGTGAATTGAATTGCACTCGCTTCTCACAATTTTAACGCTGTGTTAACTTTATAAATCTCATTTCAAACTTATATCAAGGCAAATAACACCTTAACCTTCTTTTATTGCTCAAAGAGTTTTAAACGCGCTGAAAATATGAAAATAGATTGTTTACAGTAAAATTAGTTAAAAATAAGAATGATTTATGCTTAAACAAATCAAAATAGTAATGGTAATCGTTTCCATTAGTGATGTATGGATTGGTCACCTTGAAATTGTACTAAAATTGATTTTTACAAACTTGAACGACACAAGTAAACTCAATTAACTCTACTGAAAGCTAGCTAATATTAAGAAAATAAGCATAATGTCATTGAATTTCGCACAAATTGCATTTTTATTGAAGTGATTGTGCACAGCCTTTCATTGCTTAACTTTCATTCTGTTTTCTCGGTAAGTCAAGTCATCATGTCATACGATCCGATTGTAAATTAATTGCGGAATGGTTCTGGAAAGCATTGTGAAATTTGCCGTTCGTCGTGATTTTATTCGCGCATTCACAGTAATCTTTACAAACGTTCAAACAAACACTCAATAAAACTGAATGTTTGTTCAGCATAAATAAATAAACGACACTTTTCCTTGCAGTATTTGATAAAATTATTTATTCTTAGTCAGAAATTCTAGAAATACTTACTTTTTTAATTTAGAAGAATATTTTCACGATGCACAGAAATATTTTGATATCACGAATTCAACACACAAACTTTAATTGGTTTTAATTTTTAAAAATGATCGTTTCGCGCTCGAATTAATTGCGGCGACAATATATTATCGCTGAAAACGCGCACGTTGCGAACGCGCGGCGCACGCTTAAGTAGGTTAGACTTAACGCGACTTAACTCACTTTACTTGACTTTACTCGGCGACGCTCGGATCCTAAGCCCAGCGCGAATCGAAACGAACTGAACGCGTCAGCATGGCGCGCGTGCATAAATATGAAACGGGCCGAAAATATAAGCGCGGTAAGCAAAATACAACAAACGACTTTTAAGTAGGAGCATGTCGAAGTCAACATTGAGAATTTATTTCGTTCCGAACAATATCTAAAACTATAAACAATATAAAATGAATAGCTTTAAAAAGATTATATTATTATTCGCTAGATGGCATTACCTAATAATTTTATTATTTTGTTTCAGATTACAGCATCACGTTTTCCATGCGTAATCAAAATAGGTCATGCCCATGGAGGACTCGGCAAGGTCAAAGTCGACAACATCAATGACTTCCAAGATATGGCGTCTGTCGTGGCAGTAGCACAGAGCTACTGCACTGTGGAACCCTACATTGACTCCAAGTATGATATCCACGTACAGAAAGTGGGTAATAATTACAAGGCATTCATGCGCAAGTCAATCTCTGGCTGCTGGAAAACCAACACCGGTTCAGCCATGTTGGAACAGATTACAATGCCGGAGCGTTACCGCACGTGGGTAGATGAAGTATCAGATCTCTTCGGAGGGTTAGAAATCTGTGCCCTGGAAGTAGTGGTTGGAAAAGACGGACGCGAGTATATTATCGAAGTGAATGACAGTGCGTTGACTCTTCTGGGCGATACGCAGGAAGAGGATCGAAGGCATATTGCTGATTTGGTTGTGGCTCGCATGCAGGCTATTTGCAGGCCCAAAGTTGGTGAGGAAATGGGATCTGAAGAACCAGCACCACCTCCGGTTGGACCAAGAGGTATTCTTGGTAGTTTGACGAGTTTGACCAGTACTGGTTCTGGTGCGTCGCATCCACCATCTGAACCCCCACCACTACCGCCATCTGGGGAGCATCCGTCGTTGTCAAGTGTTGGTCGGCGAGACAGTCAGGGTAAATTTTATTTTAGTTTATTTTAGGTTTTCTGATTGATTAATTTTTTGTGTTTAGTATCACAAACAAGTCAGATTAGCGGAACCGGTGCTCCGCCCACTGGACGATTACCGGAAACTCCACCACGACCGGGCTTCCAACGGCAGGGCAGTCAGAGCCAGGCGGTACCTGAGGATTCAGAGGACACGATGAAGAACTTGAGGAAAACATTCGCCGGTATTTTCGGGGATATGTAAACAATTAAAGAAAAAACAAAATGGCAGCAAACCACAAATTGAAACAAAATGGCGTTAAATCAGTCAAATGTCAATAGGAACAAAATAATACCAAAAAAATCAAAAACATACAGATAAACATGCGACAGGTGAAAATATTTTATCTATGATAAAGTCCCAACATCATTTGAAGGTCAAAGGACGACGCTGTGAGTACTCGCACCTCTCAGTAGACTAATTAGTTTTAATGACTCTACTCGAGAGAAATATAAAAGCCGTACTAATGATGCTAATTAAAAGAGGAAGATGGCGTTAATGTCGGACATTTTGTTGTTTGCTGCCGTACAACTCGTTACTTGACAGTTGACAGTTAACATCATTCAATCAACACGCTCCATTTTAAACTAATAACTACTAATATAACGATGCAATAAAGATGAAGAAGTTGATTGATAAGTGAAGAAGACAAAATTAGGAATTAACACGCGTTGCATAACGGAAAAAAGAGGAAACCATTACACAAACATGCAAAACATTCACAACGTTAAATTGGTGTCAAATGTTTTGGCACACAGGTTTGCACGTTTTGACAGTTATATAAAGACATGTTATAACCACTGCCTATGGCCGGGTGTTTCGCCATTTTGCAAAACAAAGCAAAGCAAAATCCACTCAGACGCGATTGTTTCATATCGGTAAAGAAGATTTCTGTAAAAATGTCAAAAAGACAAGAGTTGCGTTTTGTTTTGTTTTGTGCAATGAGTCGTAACACCTTTGTTATTATGTTAGACGAATAGTTGTTAACGAAACAATAATAAGTAAGTACGTGTACGTTATATACATTAAAAATTACTATACATACTATACATATGCATATACATACATACATAATAGGTATATATACACAAAAAACATTTTAAACAAATTTTGAAATTTGAACAATTTTCAAAAACAAAACCAAAAAAAAAAACAAGAGGAATATTATTAAGTCGATGTTGAGTATGTGTAGAGACAGATTGCACCATGTGTTAATTAATGCTCACACGATTAGCGTACAGCCGACGATGCACGATGAATGTATGTATGTGATGCGCTAGTCGTCATCAGATGGCGTTAAAGTGCGTCGTCGCTCAACTGGCACCATAACGCACTTGATTTATAACCACAAAAATAAGGAAAGAAATAGATGCAGCCTATACTAAACAAATGTCTTCTAACATAACCAACAACCTAACCTATTAATCAGTCTGTGTCATATTATTAAGCCAAACAAAACCAAAACCAGAACAAATGACAACACAACATATATGTATATGTATAAGAGTGAAACTAATACAAAAAAAATGTCTGTCTTCTCAAACTCTCTTCACTGTATTTAAATCTTCTTCTCTGTATGTAAACGTAATCGTAAATGCAAATAACGAACGATGCTAAACAATGACGTCACAAACAAATATGTAAAATGGACAATATTTAAAATGTATTCAAATGAAGATGATGACACACACAAGATGGCGACTTGCAGATGATATAAATATTAAATGTGACACATATGTTTGACATTTGAAGCCGAGTCGAGATGCATCGAGATTGATTTATGCAACGAAAAAACTCGTTTAGAAAAATGACATGCGACACCTCAGAGTCGATACTAATACAGTTTTCTTGAGATTGAGGATAATAATATTGGCATTTTAAACAAACTATAAACAAACAAAAAAGACGAGTAGATTTTTCATTATACATAGAAAAAGAAAACAGTTTTGATGATATTGATATAAATATTGATGAGAATACAACCAAATAACGATGTACTCGAGCATAGGCTACCGTTAGTTAATATTATTATCATATTATCAATGAATTATGTACTTTAAGTAGGTGATGTAGAAAGTGCGCGACGTCAAAGTCAAAATGTCAAAAATTGTTATGTTATGTTAGGTTAAATATTGTTACTTCACAGTTGACTAATTTTAAGGTTAAGTTATGTTGCGCTACTAAAAACTCACTCGAGCAACTGCGGATCGTTTGGGATTTTTGTACCCGTTAAGTAAATTCTCTATAAAAACTAAAGATGGCGTTGGTTACGACGATTGACAGCTGTAAATGTCACTGAATGTAATATATTCCCGCTTGTAGCTTTACATACTAGCGCATGAAGTAAGAATGTAAATGTACCAGCAAAGCTTATGTAATTTGCTTCTAGAGGGCAGCACTACTACTAAACTAACCAAAACTGTACATTATAAGAATTATTTAAATAATAATTAATTTATCTTTGTCTTTGTTAACTTGAAAGGTCTAAAATGTAAAACGTCATATCAGGTTATGTGTTATATACGTAATGAGGTTATGATTGTTTTGACAGGTGTCTTGACACTTGTCTGACAGACTTTGACGTGGGGATGCGCACGACAAGGTTGTTTAGCTCTCCCAGCTTGCGGATATTACGTTTCAAGCATATTGTATAGCGTTAATAATGAAATAACAAATAACATTAATAAGATTAGTATTATGAAGCAAACAGCAAACAAAAATAAATTACAACAAAAACGAAATACTGATTAAATGGAAAATACTATGATAATATTAATATTAATAAAAATCATCAATATAAAAGCAAATTTATCGAGTATTATGACGATTCCTACATGGATTGTTTAAGAAGTTTTATTATTACTATTATATAATTTTGAATAGGCTTGTGCTAAATTTTTATGGTTATGTTTATGTCCAATTGTTTAATAACCTTCTTGTCATTCTCAACTAAACAAAAGTTGTTTGTTTGTTGATTTGTTTTTTTTTTTCACATTCGCATTTTATTTATTATTATGCGTTTGCAGAATTATTTGCACTGAAATTAATTTATATAAACATGATTCTAACAAAGGTAACAAAAATTTATTAATTAAGTTATTAAGTTGGACATCTTGATTGTGTTGCGTCTATTGTTCATATTCACACTTGAAAAGTAAAATTTAATTGCAATTGCGAAACTATCTACATACAATCTACGATTGTATTCATAAATTAATTATTTTTAATTGTTTTTTGTTTTATATCATATAGGCAACCAAACATACTTTAAATGTGTATGTTGGTTACCTATGTTAAACTTATATGTATTATTATGTTTTAATTTACTGTTATCACTCCACGTCGATAATGTTGCAGCACTGCATAGTGCATAGAACATTATGCAAACAAGTTGCCTAACCACCGCCACTCTTATCAGCATATCATATATGTGTAAACACATTTTCATTACCATGTCGTTTTTTAAGCGTTATTATTTTCAGAGTTGAACAATTTCAAGACTTTCGTTGTTTGTTTTCCGTCTCCGGCGCGAACTGTCGCAATACAAACACATAAACAAGCGGCAATTGTTTCGACTACGTGATAATAATGCCGGCATATTCAAATTGATACAGCTCGATAAGACGTGCGCGGTTTGGTGGACCGGATACTTACTTTATCAACTGTTTTCTGCCACATATAATTCATTGTAGTCACTCGTAGTGTCGACACAAGTGAAAAACAGTGAAACAATTAATTCTGACAATATCTATGGAGAGATAGATTTGCTGTGTCTTTGTTTGTAGTGTAATATAATCAATTTATTCATTGTAGGCGTGCGATTGTGATTAAGCTTATCGGCAATATTTGGTGGAGGTGTCATGGCGGTGGCTTCCACACCGCGTCGACGCCGCATTCGTCAACTTGAGCACTGTAATCCGGCAGTGTTCGGCAACGTGTGTCTCACGCCCTATCAAGACCTGCGTAACCTACACGAATTGCACTTTGTCAATGTCAAGATGGCTGCATCATCGGACCTAACCTCAATTGACTCGTTCAAAAATCAAAATAAAAAACGTTTTCAATGGAATAATGGGCAAGCTATACTTTTGAAGAGCATCAAGCATGGTTTTGAACCAGCCAATTTCCAAAATAACAGAAAACAATTAAATTTCCACGATTGTATGGATTCCATTCAAATTGCAGAAAATAACAGTGCAAACACTTATGGAAAAGTAAACAATTGTGATGAATGTATGCAAAATAGTGGTTATGGACATGATATTCGTGAAAATGGCGATGGTGCGTGTTCTTGCAGTGATGATGAAGACTACCATCAAGATTACACTAACGATACTTATTACAACCTGGATTTTACTATGTTAGAAAAGCGTAGATGCTCCATATTGGTTGATCAACTTTTACTAGAAATTTACTCAACTTATCAAGCTGGAATAACCGATTATAATTCTGGCACGTCATGTAAGTCGGTGAAGTACGTGTGGATGGATCGTCATCAACTTGCATTCAAAGGTAATTTTTAAGAACATAAATATATTCATAGTCTTTTACTGTAAAGCACATTGTTAATGACGTAACTGTTGTCCGCTGGTGTGTAATTGCTAGTTTGGTTGCATATATTTTCCTTCAAGGTTAGGTTATGCTCGAGTAAATGTAGTTTCACCGTTTTAAATCGTTTTGCTTAGCATTAAAAGCGTTTTTAACGCTAAACAGAGCAGAAAATGTCGATCGGCTTTTGTTTTCTTAGAAACACAAGTTTGCCCCCCGATGATTATAGGTTTCAGTAATTTGCAAAGCTTTTGTTGTGATTTGTTGAGGTTATAATCGTGCAATTTTCCGCTCCTTTTGTGCATTTGCTGCGGGCTCAGTAATTTTCCACGCATATAAGAAAAATAAAATTAGTTATTGAACTGTAAACTATTTTCAAATACAGTGTGACCATAGTTTTCAAATTAAATATTTTCATTAAGTTTTATATTAATGCAATCAACACCAAATCTTATAAACGAAATCAATAGACTAGATTTGTGTATGTACTACGTAGGTATATAGTCGTAAAATGTAATATTCTATTTTGTTTACATGAATTTTATGAATTCATGATAAAACAACAACCATGAGCCAAGACGTAGGCACATCTCAAAATAATGCCACAAAATGCATCGTAGCGCCATCTAGGCGCAAATAAATTAAATTACAATCAAACTTTTGAACCAATGCTCTACCAATTAATAAATTAGTATATTAAATATAATTTTATTATTTTGTTATTATTATTGACTTTATTTATGCACAATTGACCATCAATCATAGAGTTTACAAATATAGCTACTATCATATTATAATCTAGGTATATATATATAAAATTTGCGTGTCACAGTGTTTGTTTCCAAACTCCTCCGAAACGGCTTTACCAATTTTTACCAAATTTTATATGCGTATTCAGTAGGTCTGAGAATCGGCTAACATCTATTTTTCATACCCCTAAGTGATAAGGGTTGTTCACCCTTAACTTTTTTTAAATTTTTGGACAAATTCTTTTGTTTTTATTTTTTTATAATGTGGCATTAAAAAATACATACATCCCTAAATTTTTATTTTTTTATCACCAACCCCTATTTCTTTATAGCCATTTTAGTAATTTAATCATTTTTCATCTCGCTCGAAGGAAAATTTTATCTGCGTAGGAAGTAGGTCTGAGAATCGGTTACTATCTATTCTTCATACCCCTAAGTGATAAGGGTTGTTCACCCTTAATTTTTTTAAATTTTGGTCGAAATTTTTGTTTTATTTTTTAATGTGGCATTAAAATATACAATTTTGGTTTCTTATCACCAACCCCTATTTTTATAATAAGTAAGTTACTTTTGTCTACACTAAAATTTATCTAGAAACTTGAAATAATTTATATGGCAAAACAACGTTTGCCCGGTTAACTAGTAATACTATAATATTATACTAGAAAGAATGAAAGTAAGTATAATATAAACAAGTTTGCAATTCGTAATCGCATGATTTCACACGGACGCGAGTGTTACGATTGTGTCGGTGAACATCTAACTGATATTAGTTCACATCGCACAGTTAAAACCAAAACAACACACAAAAAATTAAATGTGAATTAAATGCAAAAAGTGCATTGTAGCGCCATCTAGCTCAAATAATATAACTATAGTTAAATTAATTTAAAATTACACGCTTGGTCCATTTTCTAATAAATTATAATATTGCTGCCGCAATACATAAAATAATTGATTAATTGGATTGAATTTAGTATGTTATTGTGAATGTTTATGAATCAAGTATTGTTTATTTAATAAGTAATAGAAGAATCACTTCATATTCATGAATGTATGTGTAAGCATAGTAAAATTATTAAATGCAAATTTGTAAAGGCAGAGAAAGAAAGCAAGTTAAATAAAAACAAGTTTGGGGCAGGTAGTGGCGTGATGTCACATGGTTACGAACTTCGTGTTTGTGTGAGTTTTCGATCTGATATCAGTACGCATCGCACTGTTCAAAACAAACAACACACAAATCTCAACAAACCTCGTGTGGTGAAAACGCCGTATGGAATTTAATGCAAAGAAGTGCATTATCACGCCATCTAGGGTCAATAAATGGAGTTATATTTAAATTACATTGGTGTTTATCACTATTTTTCGAACGGAAAACGCATTTTATAAATGATGCGTTATTTAACTTAAATTAATTCCGCGATTATCTCATCAATCCTGTATTATTGTTAAAAATATATATCTTTATTTATAATGCAAATAATACTCCATATTGCTCCATTATTTATTTAAACTAATTTGAATACATTGTATATTAAACAGTGATTAGAGTTAGAAACTATTAACATTAATGCGAATATAATAGCTATATGCCCTGAGAGAATTATAATATTTTATATTTTTGTTCAAGAATTGCAAGAGTTAACGGTTGTTGTCGATGTGCTTCAAAAGAAGTGGTACGCGCTGGAAATCTACTTGTAAGGCGTTTGAAACGACGAGACGCTCTCAGCCGCCAGAGGGAAGCACGATGTGAAGTTATTACCTGCTTACTACGCAAAATTCGCGAAAATTCAACAAAAGGTAAGAGTAACATCATCTAACCTAAATCAATCTATATTAAAATATTCAACACATTCAATTGTTCAAATTTGTTCAACGTATACAATGTGATCAATGTGTTGCATACGATAGCACTTAGTTCGCTACCCACTCGGATCAATAACGTATGAATGACGCCACGTTTTGTCCCTCGTGAAAGCGGCGGTGGAGGCGGCAGAGTGTCGTCGTTGTTGGATGTTGAATGTTGACTAAACATAGATAAGAACTCCAGCACACACACACACACACACTCACACAAATCATACATACAATGTGTCCATGTATAAAGAGTGTGTAGGTGTAGGTTTTTGCGGGGTGGTAAAATTCGGTTTGCACGACGGCACTGCGTGTGCGTGGTGAACCTTGCGTGTATTCAGCGGCGGCGGCGGTGGCGGCAGTGCTAGTTGTGCCAGCACGCTGCACGCCGGTGGGTGCCGCCGCCGCCGACACGCGATGCCAACGTGGATGCGATGGCCTACGACCGCCACCACAGTCGCATACGCCAAAGAAAACAACAAATCAGTTACAATCATTTAAAATTTATTTCGGTATTGCTTTAATAAATTAATTCGGTGAATGAAGATTTCTAAAAATTATAACGCTAATTACTATGTGCGAGAGTGGCCGTGCGTGTTTAGTAATAATGCTGATAAGATTGATAAGATAAAATGAGTGGGCTTATAAATCAGCTGAAGAAGGCCGCCGCCTCGGGGGCGGCGAGCAATGCGTATAATTCGCAAAGAAATTCAGGTACATGACTTCCATACATTGAAATATTTATTCTAGGTTATGTTATGTTAGGTTAGGTTAGACAGCACGCAGCTCTAAAAATAACAATCGTATACTATTGTTGTTACGATAATAATAAATTGGGCAAATAAAATTATTCACGTTAAAATATAACGGCGTGCAAACGAAAACAAACAAAAGGGATTAGCAAGTAAACAAAGTATGAATGGGAAAAATAAAAGAAATGCAAACAATGTGCAAAAATCGACGGTCGATTGTGTTTGACGTTCAAAGTTCAATACCTACGATTCTTTTGTTTTCGTTTCGAAGTGAAAAATAACAAAGGACGCCAAAATGGCGAAAACGTAACGAATTTAAAACAAAAGACTACATCTTTGTTTACCACTGATTGTTTATAAATTGTTTAGATATATACCGCATCAAATAGTTACGTAGTTGTAAATGAAACTTGCCGAATTGTGGATGAATCTTTGATTGGAGCGCGTCCAAAAATAGCTCGCCGCGCGGCGAGTGGAAAGAGGCAAGGATGTTTCAAGGACATAACCTAATTTGCGCGTAAATGAACACATCCCTCGACCGCGACCCGCCATGCTTTACAGTTTTCGCTAATTTTTGTTTTATGCTTTTGTTAATGCGTATTTTATTTGCAATAAAATTTTAAACCTTTACCTTGAAATTAGCATAGGTATTACTTTGATTGTCAGAAGTTTTAAGCTGTCATTACGATTTGCTGTATAATGGGCTGCCTATTACCTGCATTCGCCATTGCTAATTCGAGTTTTAATGGCGTCGTGACAGGGATGAAAAAGACAGTGAATGAACTCGTTACTTTTCATAAATGCTGCGTTGGAATAATACACAACGAAATTTACTCTTGCTATCAGGTCGAATTCGCATAAAATTGCTATTATAAAATATACAGCGTGTTCGGGAATAAATTAAATTACCTATATTTATTATTGTGATTATTATTATTTTGGTGGAGTTTATCGGCGTGCGTTTTAATTAAAACACAATTGCCTGTAATTTGTTATCCTCGACTACGCCGCAATGCTGCGATACATAGATACGGATTTAATTAATTAATGATAGCCATGATTAAAGATTAAATGTGGAAGCCACAAAAGCGACATAAATTCACCCGATAAAATTCAATTATTGAAAAGTAAATGATTACAAGAAACTCATTTAATTTCTATATAAATTCGAACATATGGTATATTAAAAGGATTAATATTGAATGATGGTTAGAGGTTTCTGCTGCCTGAAAGCACTGTCCTTGGGGAGTACTAAAATATTCATCTCCATTATAAATATCTACTAAAATCAATCAGGGGTTTAAATCTTCAATTTACGCCATCTATCGGTAAAGAGCTTAGAAAAGAATAAACAATTGTTTAAAAGAATGAAATTTTATTTATGATTTTTTTTTTACTTTATTTCAGGTGTTCCTGAATTTTCCCCGGAAATGCGTTTCTCATTGCAGCCGCTCCCCGGCGACTCGGGTTTCTCACAGTGGCACTCGGCGATGAAGATGGTCTCGCAGCTGCCGGAGGGCATTCCGGCGGAATTCCGCCGCCAGCTGTGGCTTTCGCTCGCCGATAAACACCTCCATGCCAAAGGCGTAGACTGGCCGGCGGCAGAGCGCGACTGTTTCAGCGAGTGGTCGCATCCCGCCGACGCCGAACTGGGCGTGCAAATTGTTAAAGATTTACATCGCACCGGCTGCAGTCTCTTTTGTGGCAAGGACGGCAAAGAGAATCAAGCGCTGCTCAAACGAGTACTGCTCGCCTATGCTAGGTGGAATAAAAATGTTGGTAAGTCAATTAAAACTTTTTCAATTTTAAATAAATACGTAAACTATTGATTTTTCATAGGTTATTGTCAAGGGTTTAATATGCTGGCGGCGCTCATATTACAAGTGACGGAGAAATCGGAAGTTGAAGCTTTGAAGTTGATGATTTACCTCATTGAAGGTGTACTGCCGGATTCCTACTTTGCCGACAGTTTACGTGGACTGTCTGTCGACATGGCCGTCTTCCGCGAATTACTACGCACGAAACTACCGAAATTATCCAAACATTTGGATACACTCCAGGTGGCATCGAAAGAAGGCACCACCAGCTACGAACCGCCATTGACGAATGTCTTCACCATGCAATGGTAAGTCAAATAAAACCAATCAATTAAATAATATGTTAAGGATTTTGCATACTTTACTTTAATATTGAATATAGGCAACCCAATATACAATACGCATTTATGTACCATAGCTTTCAGATGTTTTAAATTGAAATTTATCAGAGCGTGAACACTCTCAGCGGGGCCCTCCATCGTCGTACGTTAAGTGGAATGAAATGGGCTTTCAATCATTCTCGTTCATTTTTTCGCGTCTTCAATTTATTCTCTGAATGTTTTTATTTAAGCCACAATTCCAATTCGGTCTAATGACAGATTAAACTCTTCGAAATAAATTTAATCAAGACACGACGTGTCTGAAATATTAACGTGTACCTTCGGCATAAATTATAATTAAATCACAATCCAATTTAAATTGTAATTAATGTTTTTAATCTAATATTATGCTTCAAGATCAAAACCCTTTTACCTTAGCCAAACATGAGGAAATTACACAATTTCCTAACCTAAGAAACTTTAATGTTTGGATCTTCGTGTTCAACAAATTAAATTTATGCGCAATTAAATATTTCGTTGAATACTATTTGAATAATGACTATATTATTATTATTATCATGTAAAGTATTTCGTTTAAAATTAATGAGCACTTTTGCTGAGTTCACTGTTTTGTGGTCCAATTAGTGAGATCAAACGTTTTCAGCATTTAGGTTCACCCTTAATTATTTATATACATCTATACCATGTGTTCAAATTAAATTTAATCAAGTAATGATGAAGTTGGTTAATAGAACATACAGTTTATTGAATGTTACTGATGTTATTTTCTAAAGTAGTATTTTGTAAGGGATGAGAAATGAGGTTAGAAATTTAATTAATTTAATGGAGATAAGATTCGAGCGGAATACAATTCGATTCGACGTTGTTCGTCTCACGTAAATTCAACATTTCTACATTTCAATGTTTGTTTTTGCCAATCAACGAAACGAAGAAGAGATGCAAAGTAAACGAAGAGAACTCAGTGAATATCATACGATAGAATTCATACAAAGGTAAAAGGAATCTAATCCGATAAGAAATTTATGCCATTACAATGAAAACAGAAAAAGTCTCTTTGTACCTGTCATGCTCACACTTAATGTTTCAACTTATGCAACTCATTGTACAAATGATATATTGGGTTGCCTATATTCATATACTTATTAGGCTATCTTGTCATAATACAGTTGAACAGTGAAGTTAATAATTCCGTAATTGATTTTCTTGTCATGTTCGCATGTCGCGTCATTATCGCTGATCATGCGTTTGCAGCTTTATTAAATTGCATATTATGCACGCTACCGTCACCAGCACGCTTCTTTGGTACGCGTTCAGGGGTTAATATTGGCGCAACCACGCGACTATAATTAGATTATTCAATGAAGTAACACATTATCACGTCGTGACGAGTCTTACAATAGTATTATATTCAGCGATACTTGCACTGTTAAATTAACCTAACTTGTGTAGTATGCAACCAAACATTCAATGAAATTGATATGTAAACTTTGATGTAAAACTTTACCAAATCAAAGTTTACCCTTTTAGCCGAATATCAGCGCTAAGCAAACTTTGAAACTTTCAAACTCATCGTAATTTAATTAGGGAAACTTAATATTGAGCTTTCAGTAGTTTGAAATAACTTTTAGATTACTTGTGATTTTTTAGATTATTTACCACAAAACTATTAAAAATTTGACATTAAATGAACTTTTGAACTTTAAACTTTCGTAAAAACTAAGTTTTATGGTTGAATTTAAGAAATTTTAGTGCCAAAGCATATGCAAAAGCACGAAGGTATTATATTTACGCGGGTCTAGTTCTTTTTCGCGCTTTTCGCACGTCTGAGCTGAGTGAATAGTGAAGTGATTTTTTCAGCTGAATCTTTACGACCCGCCGCACGACGCGGAGAAGACCTTGAGCGTGAAAATGCTTTAAAAATGAATTTTAAGCTGGCATGTGTCAAACGGAAGACATTTTATGAATTTCTAAATATATTACGTCGTAATACCCATTACTTTTTCATAGTAGATGGCGTTGGTTGCATATTAATGGGAGTGCTTTGTTTTATTTACAGGTTTTTAACCCTCTTCTGTAATTGTCTACCGCAACCAACTGTGCTACGCGTGTGGGATCTCATCCTCCTGGAAGGAAACGAAATTTTACTGCGAACATCTTTGGCGATCTGGCAAGTGCTGGCTGATAGAATAATGACAGCTAAAACCGCGGATGAGTTTTACTGCGTCATGGGCATGTTAATGCGAGAAATTTTAGAATTTGATTTAATTGATGCCAATACTTTGGTGAAGGGTATTGTTTCGATAGGTCCACTGACGGAACTCAGTGTACTGCGTGAACATTATTTATACAATATAAATCCATGGGGAGCCACGCCCATTAGTCGTAGTGAAGCGCCATCTGATGGCTCGCGTCGCAACAAAGTGTATCACAAAGACAAACTGGTATTAGACATCGGTGTACTTAAAAAACAATACACTAAACTGAAACAACGTCAGCGACAAGCGCATGTTATATTTAACACAGCAGTTGCACGTCAAACAGCACGCCCTGCTCCTGTTGCCATGAATCATCTTCTATTGGGTAAAAGTGCTTTGGTTCCCGCGAAGAAAGGAATGCGCCCAGGCCCACCTAAAGGATCAGTGCCGCCACCTAGACATGCTCATAATAAACAAACTAATAAGGCGCATCCACCCCAACAAATTAAACCAGTGAAAATTGCTGCTATAGCTCCACCTAAAACTCTTCATTGGAAAGATGAAGGCGCCCGAAAAAGATCTCCTTCATCCTCGTCCTCATCTTCGGATACTGAACTGTGCGATGAACCAGAAGAGTTTAACTCTGATGAAGAAAAGGGCGAAGACAACAAAAAGAGTCAATTGCCTGAATTGCCTGATGACAATCTTACTACTTTAGCCATGCCTACTGCTGTACTCACGCCTCTTAGTAAAACCACGTCTCTAATTGAAGGTTTAGACCACGCCCAGCCGGACCTCACCAGTGATAACAGTGATAAACAACGTAGTGATATTGATGTTGCCCTCTCCTCAGAAACTATCGATAATTATGATCCAGTGTTGTCTGAAACAAGTGCCAGTGCTTTGCCCGTAAACGTGATTCCGGATTTATTGGATTTTGTTGAGCCGCCCATTGATACGTCTATAGCCGCGCCTCTGTCTTTTAATATTGACGAATTTCTCTCAGAAAACACCGAAAATGATAATTCAATTATTGAAACTTATGACAAATTTGATGTGCTAGAAACTTCAAGCGACATCTATCCGACTACAGATGTCGCTACGGACGATTATTTTATGACGTTGAATGCATCCCTGCAACGCTCCGACAGTTTGCCATCAGAAGATGGCTTTGATTTTGAGAAGTTCTTAGAAGAACGTGTTAAATGTCTCAAGGACACTAAAGATAAACTTTATTCGAGTGAGGAGAGTCTTGATGACACTTCCGAAACGGAAAGGATAAAATACGCAAGAAAGAACAGCGTTCGTGCTTTAGAGATTATCCAAGAAAACTCGTTGATCTTACACAGAATTTTACAATGTCAAAGTAGACTCACGCCTACGCCACCACCATACGAGGATTTAGATTCGAATAAATTAGAAAATGATTTGCAAGATGGCGGTGAAAAACTTACTCCTACCACGCCAACACCGACAAATGAAAATCAAGGAACATTATTACTAACTGATTTTACTTCTAAAAATAATGATGACGTTGAAAACGAGCAAGAAATAATTGAAATTGACGTTAAAACTCCTGAGAAATTAAATGTTTTCCGGCCTTATGGTGATTTCACTGAGTTTTTGCTTAAATATCAAAGTAAAACACCGGACGCTATTGATGTAGTAGATATTGAAAACAAATTCAGTGATTTTGAAGTTAAAAAATCCGAAAGCAATGAATTAACAGATTTACCTTCAAATTTAGTTGACGAAGATGATACTCCTAAAAATCATACAGAAAATGATTCCCCTGAAAAGTTTCTATTTGAGTTTGAAGATAAATTACCTATTACACAAGATTTGCAGCTGGAATATGCTCCTGTTGATGATTTAACCTCATTCTTTAATAACTCCAACTACGATTCAGAAACACAAGATAAAGCAGAAGATAACATTGATATGTTTGCTTCGGAAAATTTAATCGAAAATTTAACCAATGTTGACATAGAAACCGATAAAATTGAGGTTAGAGAGAATATTGACGTGGAGGACGACGATGCCACTTACCTGAATCGACTGATAAGCAAATACAATTTTATCTCGAAGCAACATGAGCACGAGGATCCACTCAACATACAAAGCGAGGAAAAAAAAGACGAAAAGGACGAAAGGGATAAATTGAACCGGGCGAATGAAATTGACGAGACAGATGAAAGTACTCATGTAAGCAGAGACGACAGCACACTGGAGTTTAGTATTGCCGATATTGAGATACCTGCCGTTAGTGCTATCTATCGTCCAATGGCCGCGACAAACATTGTCGAAGTGGATTACAATCTGGAAAAGTACCGACACAAGTTGGGGTCGCCGTTAGCCGACACCGAGAATAAAAGTGAACCTACAACTGAGACTACGCAAGCAATTCTAACCACAACAGACCTCGATGAAGATGAAGATCTCATCGAAATCGGCAAAAACTCGAAATACAATTCAATACTTGAATACAGCCGCAATCTCGATGAAAAGTTTAATAATTTGATTCTTAAGAGTCCAAAACTGTCAAAATTACAAAAATCAGAGAGACTTAACCTAAAAGGCAACTACAGTTTGGACCTACCTTTAGAAAATGTTGACATTGATGGAGGACGCCATTTTGAAGACGCTAGTGACCTCACTCCGAAAGCATCGCATTCATTTCAAGATTTCACAGCTCTTACAAAGTCTGATATTGATTTATCTCCTAAAATGGCTTCTTCTTCCTCGAAAAGTTATATTATGACAACTGAAGTGGATCAACAAGAAGATGTCGCCACTTCATACGCGTCAACAAGAAACACAATGGATGTTGATGTGCTGATAGAGAGTCCTAGTTTAAAATCGCCCAACCGGATCTACAATCCGTTTCCGGTGAGTATTAGTTCCAGGCAGAGCAAGGAAGTGCCGTTTCGATTAGGCCTGTATAAAAAATGATAAAAACGGAACATAACCTAATTTGAATTAATAACAAAACCAACAAATAACATAAGCATAGTTTTGTGATGAAGTCTGCTTGATATTCAAGTATTTTTGACAGCTAATAACAGCGGCAGTATTAAAAAAATCAAAAGTCAGATTACAGCAATCTGTTATTCGCAAAATTCTAATAAACCCCAAGAAAGACATAACCTCACTCTGCACTACATCTACATCTATATTTATAGATAAATATAACAATTAGTATAAACATAATAATAAATAATAATATTATTATTAACATATAAATAAATTATGTAAATATAATACATTATTACATTGACGAAACTGTGATTTTACGAGGCGTTACTTACTACTAAACTGAAAATGATGAAGATGATGATGCAAAATTCTGTAAAAAATATGTATGTGAGCGAATGTTTGAAGAATTGTCGTGCCACGTCCTTTCGAATAATGTTAAAGAAACAAAACGCGAAAACACAAAAAAGCAAAATAAAACACAAGCAGTAGAAGTAATATACGATGAATTAAATTCAAAGTAATAACAAAAGAAATATATTCTAATATTTACCTATTTAATTATTACTTACCGCGAATTGATAAAATACAAATAAACAATTAGGAAATATGTATATTGTGCAAAATATGTATATTATGAAAAGAGAAACCAAACTTGTTGAATATTAGTAATACATAACAACAACCTTTGCGTCAAATCTGCAGGAAATGATCAAAATAAACCATTCATAAATAATTTAACGTCTTTTATTTATAGCAGCAGTAATTTAATATAGGCAACCAACAATGGAATTTTTTTAAATTTTTTAAGTTTTTTTAAAAGTTTTTTGGACAAAAATTGTTTTAAACAACATATTCAGGTAAAATAGGTGGACAGGTACAAACCAAATGTTTGTCCCCGTAAATATCATCAATTCTGGAAACAGTCGGCCATATTTTACTATCAGGGAGTAACAAAATCGGCTGGGAATGCAGCTTGTTCTCTTGTATATGGCCTCTCCCAGCTGCTACTGACCACTTGTTCTTGTGAGTGTGGTGCCATTTTTAACGGATTTACTCTGATATCCATCGTGCCGTCTTCAATCTCTCGAATTTCTTTACGGATCAATACGAGAGCATCGCAAAACTTGTCGAGTTCTTGTTTATCTTCTGATTCTGTTGGTTCTATCATAAGCGTACCAGCTACAGGGAAGGACATAGTTGGAGCGTGGAATCCATAATCCATCAGCCTCTTTGCGATATCAACTGCTTCAATATTTGCTGTTTTCTTAAACTGTCTGATATCGATGATGAACTCATGAGCAACCAACTGAGATTGTGGTGATTTGAATAAAGTAGGGTAGTGTTTTTCTAAACGCTTTGACATGTAGTTGGCATTCAATATGGCTACTTGAGTGGCTTTACGAAGACCTTTACCACCCATCATTTTGATATAAGCCCAGGAAATAGGTAAGATAGCGGATGATCCATACGGAGCAGCGGATACAACACCATAGGATGTGGAATTAGCTCCAAGAGGGTTAACAACTGGATGTCCAGGTAAAAATGGTGCTAGATGAGATTTAACTCCAATTGGACCCATACCAGGACCTCCTCCACCATGTGGAATACAGAATGTTTTGTGAAGATTTAAATGAGAAACATCAGATCCATAATCACCAGGTCTGCAAAGACCAACCTGCGCGTTCATGTTAGCACCATCTAAATATACTTGTCCACCATTTTTATGGATGATATCACACACATCAGCTACAGTCTCTTCAAAAACACCATTTGTTGATGGATATGTAATCATCAAACAAGACAAACGATTCTTAAACTTTTCCGCTTTGGTTTTAAGATCATCCATATCAATAGAACCATCAGATCTTACCTCACGGGTTCTACCCTCATACCAGCCATTTGTGCACTTGCGGGATTAGTACCATGAGCACTCAGAGGAATCAAACAAACATCTCTATGTTTATCACCTTTAGCTTCATGATAACACTGAATTGCTCGTAAACCTGCATATTCACCTTGGGCTCCACTATTTGGTTGAAAACTGATCTTATCGTATCCTGTAATTGCACATAAATCTTTCTCTAATTCATCAAACAATTGCTGATATCCTCTTGCTTGATCAACAGGTACGAATGGATGTATCTCTGTGAAATGCTTAAAACTACACGGCATCATCTCAGTAGTTGAATTGAGCTTCATTGTACAAGACCCCAGAGGAATCATAGAATGAACCAGGGAGATGTCTTTGTTCTCCAAAACTTTCATATACCTCACTAGTCTAGACTCAGAATGATGTGAGTTGAAAACTGGATGTGTCAAGAATGAACTGGTACGTTTAAACTCAGATCTTAAAATTGAACCGGTTCGAACTTTATCAGGCTGTGTAGAAATTACATCACTCTTTTGAGATGACCCAAACACATAGAAAAGATCATCTATATCCTCAACAGTTGTTGTTTCATCCAAAGCTACTCCAACAGTTTCGTTATCATCAAAATATCTCAAATTAATTTTCTTTTCATTTGCTCTGGTCCTAACCTCATCTACACCAATAGATGGAACTATTTTCAAAGTATCAAAGAAGTATTCATTGGTAAGTTTATTTCCGTCCATTTCAAGACCATGTTTCAATACGAGCGTTAGATTGTGAACTTTGTTGGCGATATCCTTTAATCCTTGAGGTCCGTGGTAAACAGCAAACATAGCAGACATATTTGCCAACAGAGCTTGGGCTGTGCAAATATTACTGGTAGCTTTATCTCTGCGAATATGTTGTTCTCTAGTTTGCAGAGCTAACCTATATGCATCCCTACCAGCAGCGTCCCTTGTCACACCAATCATCCTTCCAGGCATTAATCTAACCAAAGATTGATGACAAGCAAAAAATCCAGCGTGTGGTCCACCATATCCCAAAGGTACACCAAATCTCTGAGAAGTTCCAATTGCAATATCCGCTCCAAATTCAGAAGGTGGTCTTAGTAAACATAAACTTAATAAATCCGTAGCACAACAGACAAGGGTACCATTAGCATGGGCATTTTCAGCTACTTGACTGAAGTCCAAAACATTGCCTTCTGTATCAGGGTATTGGAATAACACTCCAGTAACATCATGGTTAGAAAAGTCAGCTTCCATCACATCGACTATTTCGAAGGTAAGTCCTAATGAATTTAATCTTGTTTCAACCACCGAAATAGTCTGCGGATGCAGTTTATGTGACAGTAACATTTTGCGGCGTTTATTCTGTCGGAAGCAAAGTGACAGAGCTTCTGCGGCTGCGGTTCCTTCATCCAACAGAGAAGCATTTGCTACTTCTAAACCAGTAAGTTCCGCCACCATTGTTTGATAGTTCAGGAGACTCTCAAGACGACCTTGAGCTATTTCCGGTTGATATGGAGTATATTGTGTGGTCCAACCAGGGTTCTCGAAAATATTACGCATAATTGTATGTGGTACACAACAGTTATGGTAACCCATTCCAATGTAAGAACGCCAGATTTCATTGCGTTCAGCAATCTTCTGAATTTGTTTGATTAATTCATATTCGCCTTTAAAAATGGAATCAATATTATAGTCATATATTATGTTCTACATGATACTACTTGATAAGATGGACCCCTGGTAAGACCCGTCATCAAAGGTCATGACATTGACGATAATATTTACTACTTCGTTATAATGATGTACTTTTATTTTTATTTCGAAGCAATCTCGCGAATTGCGCCAGCAAATAAGTAATAAAAGTGTTTACTCGTTATTACTTAATCATGAAATTATGGTGTAATCAATATGAGTGGAAATAAGGTACTTACTCGTGGATTCTTCAATTTCTAAGGGCTTGTTCAACGCAATACGCTTCGGTACAGCTTTTTCAGTCAACTCGTCTAAACTCTGCAAAAAAAGAACAAAACAAAACGTAAATAAAACGTAAGACATAAGTACAGCTTGAGAATAATTGAATACAGTACATTAATTAAAAGTGTCTCAACGACTTGCAACGGTATGATTAATTAGCATTTATTTTTAGACAATTCTCGGGTGTTTTTGTGAATTTTACTCCGGTTTTCTTGTTTTTATATTGAATTTTTCTGTTGTTGTCAGTGAGATTATTTGCTGCTCGTAGAAAATGAATTAACAACTCTGCAAACAACTTTCCGTACAAATGTACATCATTTTTCATTTAAAAAAGTTTCAGAATGCTAACAAGTTTAATTAAATTTTATAAAATTAACTTTTTTATGTTTTATTTAATTTATTCACCACCTACTTTATATCCAAGTAAATCCAACATGGTAACGATGTCTCTGTCCCTTGGGCCAATATGCCTATTGGGAAAATCCTCCTTTTTAGGGAATAATGGTTCGTCCGGACGCGCCGCACTAAAACACCGCAAATTTTGCAGTTTTGGTACTGCGTACCTCGCTCGCACTGCTAACTTATACATTTTTATATTCACTAATGTTTTTAATTGTAATTCAAAAATAAAATTCAATTAAATTAATTAATACTAAAAATGTTTAGTGTTATAGCGAGCGCGAGCTCGGCCCAAGTGAACGAATTCTCTTCAATGCGTTTATTTTATGTTATAACTAATCAGAATGATAATTAAGCTGAAATTACATTTATCTTGGGACTGGGTATAACGCAACGCATAAAATTAAAATGTTACTGAAGGGTCAGAGTTGATCATTTGTCGATATCTCACATTATATTAAACGTAACGATATCGACGTCGTGAAATTTACGCACGTCGTAACATTGATTTGACTATTTTTATGGGCATTTGCGATCAATTTCATGCGTTTTGCAATAAATAATTTACATAAATTGAGAAGAAATAAATGTAATTAAAAATAACAGTTGAATATAAATGAAAACAGAATTATTGTGAATATTTTTTTATTATTGTATTTCTTTAGCAGCATGGTTCAACTGATAAGATTATAAACGTGATTGAAGATCCAATATCTTGGTTGAATGTTGTTGCAACGATAATATTTCATCGTCCGATTTTTAGTTAGAAAGTGTATGGTAGCGCTATCTTGGTTTGCCTTAGCAATATCAATTGCAGTTCAGTATTTTGTACACAGATGGCGGTACAATGCAGTCATCGGCTTTAAATAAAACTAGTTGATAAGAAACATGCAGATTCAATGATAAACAAATCTATCGCTTAAACTGTTTATTTAGATAAATATACTGGACATAAACCACCTTGTGTCAAAATACTCTCATTTAATAAACTTTTAGTAATGCATAATAAAATTTAAAATTGCATCAAGAAAAAATATGATTTTTTCCTAATAAACGTAAAAAAAATATGTAATCTTTATTTTAGTATTATTCTGGTCTTAGACACGTATTCTGTCTGCTTTATCTTATAGAATCTGCATCGCAGCATTTGATAATAAATAATGCTGATCGTCTGAAAGTTGTGCCTACTTGACGGTAGGTGTTCGTTGTGTTGGGTTCGTCGTGTAGTGTTGTCAGTAGAGAGCCAACATCACCGGTCACGTGACGCCGGCACATTGCCTACGTGTACGCATCGTGTCAGTCTCATACGGCCAACAACGCGAAAGTACCGTTGCTCTGCCACACTCGCTGGCACTTCATTCGGTGACACGGTGTTGAGCGCATCATCTCGGCGTGCGCGTTCCCCCCAAAAACCTCCTTCGACGTTCAGTGAGCGTGCCTGCGTGCCGTGAAACGTGGAACTTATAGTGCCCCGTGTGGACACATCGACGTCGAAACCACAGCGGCCGAACAAATCCCATCAAGATGGGTAGTAAGTATTCTCATCTAAATTATTTTCATATTTATATTTAGTCCAATATGCACAGATTGTAATACACTGAAGGGCAGAATTACTACAATTGTAGTATGTGAGAAAACTTACGTACCTTACGTTTGCTTACGTATACAATCTGGGGACAAATGTGCATGTGTCTAATAAAAATGTTGATGTTTCAAAGACAAATGTTCTTATCGTAATTATCATTTCCAGTTAAATTCTTGGAAGTTATCAAGCCGTTCTGCAGTATACTGCCAGAGATCGCCAAACCCGAACGAAAGGTAAGAAAATTTCCATGAGTTGGAGTAAGTTTTAGTTAGAACTTAGGTTTCTCATCAGCAATATGGTCGTTGCTCAGTTTTTCATTGATAAATACAATTAAATGTGGAGGCATTGAAACTTTTCATTCACAATTTGATAACAGATGGCTTGGCTGCTAGCCTGTTTCAAGTTGGATAATAACCCTCATCAACTATTAGTTATTACTCAATCCTCAGGCATTTTATTGTACAATGTTTAATGTTTTATTTCAATTTCAGATCCAATTCAGAGAGAAAGTATTATGGACGGCGATCACACTATTTATTTTCCTTGTTTGTTGTCAAGTAAGTTCACTTTGACTATACTAATGTATAAATGCTAAATTTGCGCATATCTTGAGTGACTTCAGTTGTTATTTCTCAGTTTGGGTGTTTAGTAATTAATATTTTGGTTTGTTAATGTAATCAAGTTATAACTGCACATCATAAACATTGAATGTGTGGTAATGTGTGTCATAATTCAAAGGCAACACGTTTTTGAACAGTAAAACTTGAATAATTATATTTTGATCTTATGTTTTGTCATTCTCAAGATGTGTTCAAAGTATGAGCGACATTCAATTTGTAAATGTTTGGTAAATTTCAATGTTGTGTTTAGATTCCGTTGTTCGGTATCATGAGCTCAGACTCAGCCGATCCGTTCTACTGGATTCGTGTAATTCTTGCGTCAAACAGAGGCACCCTCATGGAGTTGGGTATCTCGCCCATCGTCACATCCGGTCTGATCATGCAGCTCTTGGCTGGCGCCAAGATTATCGAAGTTGGTGACACTCCAAAGGACAGGGCTCTGTTCAATGGTGCACAAAAATGTAAGCATTACAAAATATTAACCATTTAAGCTATTAAACGATTAGTCTAATGCTTAACGACTTTTCTAATGCGATTTTATCTTTATAAATTTAGTGTTTGGCATGGTAATCACCGTCGGCCAAGCAATCGTCTACGTAATGACCGGCATGTACGGCGACCCAGCCGAAATCGGTGCCGGCGTGTGTCTTCTCATCATTATCCAGCTTTTCGTCGCCGGTTTAATTGTACTTCTGCTCGACGAACTCTTGCAAAAGGGCTATGGTCTCGGCTCTGGTATCTCGCTCTTCATTGCGACCAACATCTGCGAAACCATCATCTGGAAGGCATTCTCTCCCGCCACGGTTAACACCGGCCGCGGTACTGAATTCGAAGGCGCCGTCATCGCTCTCTTCCACTTGATCGCCACACGTCAAGACAAAGTCCGCGCTCTGCGTGAGGCCTTCTACCGCCAGAACCTTCCCAATCTGATGAACCTGCTCGCTACCATCCTTGTCTTTGCCATAGTCATATATTTCCAGGGCTTCCGTGTCGACCTACCCATCAAGAGCGCGCGTTATCGCGGTCAGTACTCCAGCTACCCAATCAAACTCTTCTACACATCAAACATCCCTATTATTCTGCAATCCGCGCTTGTTTCTAACCTTTACGTCATTTCACAAATGTTGGCGGTTAAATTTCATGGCAACTTTTTAATTAACTTGCTTGGCGTGTGGGCTGATGTTGGCGGTGGTGGCCCAGCACGTTCATATCCAATTGGAGGGTTGTGCTACTACCTCAGTCCGCCTGAAAGCGTCGGACACATCCTGGAAGACCCCGTGCATGCGTTCTTGTACATCGTCTTCATGCTGGGTTCCTGCGCGTTCTTCTCAAAGACGTGGATTGAAGTATCTGGATCCTCCGCTAAGGATGTTGCCAAGCAGCTGAAGGAACAGCAGATGGTGATGCGTGGTCATCGTGATAACTCAATGATCCACGAGTTGAACCGTTACATCCCGACGGCAGCTGCTTTCGGTGGTCTGTGTATCGGCGCGTTGTCAGTGATGGCTGACTTTATGGGCGCGATCGGTTCCGGCACGGGTATCCTGCTCGCCGTGACGATCATCTACCAGTACTTCGAGATCTTCGTCAAGGAGCAGAGCGAGATGGGCAGCATGGGTGCGCTGCTCTTCTAAGTTACGCAAATGATTTTTGTTAATTATTTATATATAAAATATAAAAAATACTGTGCCCTTGCGATGCGAGGAGAGGCAGACAAAAATATTGATTACTAAAAAAACATTTGAAATTTCACTACAGAAACAAAAATCATTGGAAAGAAGGACCGTTTGTTGAGTAAATTAGTACTATTGAGGTAATCAATATTTTTTATACTAAACGAATGAAAGGCTGACTATTTTCACTCACTTTGATGAAATAAAATAGTCTTTTTTGTACTTGATAAGACAAACTTAAAATATTAAACAAATTTACTATGACAATTGCTGCGATTGCAAACCGAGAACTGCGAAGCAATGATATTTATGAGTAACTTGGAAGGGAGAGTGTGTGTGTGTGAGTTCATCTCTTTGTAATAATTGTAATAATTTATGTAGTAACATGTCGTTCGACTTTTCGATTGTTTGCGATGAGTTTTAGTTTGTTTTCTTTCATTTCATTACATTCAGCTTGCGAGAACGAACGGGTGCAATAAAGTGAGAACTCTATATTCGTAAATATCTTGTTTCCGTTTCAACAAAAAGTTTACACTTGACCACAATATGAGGTTTGTCAAGTTTTTAATTCAATGTTGGCTGTTTACATTCGTAAATGTCGCGCAGTCAAGTTTCAACTGACCTGTCATCGCAACACAATGAAAATCCACCTGAATTTCTATTGAAAACGCAAATCTATGTGAATTTATTTACTATATGTACAAAAAACGTAAAATTTCCACCGAAAAAGAAGCATTTACACAAGAATTCGACTGAGGTACTACTATTTAGTGCAAATAAGTTACGTACACGAGCGCATCCTCCGTCGTTTGTCCCCACCTCAACGGTTGGATTTTACAGGCTGTGCTTGCGCTCGTAGTCGTGCTCTACGCTCTCGTTTTGTGCGCGATCGAAAATGGCAGCCCCGGTCTACGTCGAGGACGAAATCGGTCGGAAATGGGACAGATGCCTTACGGACGGAATCCTCAAGTTCGGTATGAAACACTTTCACCCTATAACAACTCTTTACATCAAAATCTGTGCATTTCTTAAGCTGTTCGCGTGATCGAAAGCCGATAGATATGACATAATCATATGATTAACCTTAAATGCAAAACTTCGAAATACTATAATATTGTTGTGAATTTGTAGGAGGTGGGCTCGTGATAGGAACAGTGTTTTCCTTTCTGTTCTTCAAGCGAAAGCGCTGGCCGATTTTACTCTCCGGTGGTTTCGGCGTCGGCATGGCCTACTCAAACTGCGAGCGTGATCTGAACGCCACAATGCTTGGTGCATCCAAGCTGCAGAAAAAATGCGATTAAACAACTCCTAGAATCAGCAGCATGCATATGTGAAAGTAATTAATCACACATTTAGTGAACATTGTATATAAAGGGGAAAATGCCATTAAACATCAAATTGGGTGATGTCAATCTGTCTGACTATGTGTTATTTATTAGTTTGTTGGCATTTCTTGGGTTTTTAATCTCACTAACATCAGAGAGAAACAATATACATATACTGTGGTGTTCAAATCAACTTAAATAAATTAAAACTGTTCAATATTATACTGTTACCACTAAAATATCAAAATATGTAGGTGACTAGAAGTATAGTATGAGTATTTGTTATTTTTTATTTTAATTTCATTTGTCCTATTATATTTTTATAGTTAGTGTTTGAAACAATAAAGTTGGCGCTGTTAAATCAGTTTATTTTTGTGTTGCATGTCATAGGAATTCTTTTTGATAAGTTGTATTCAGTTGGGAAAATGTTGCATGAAATGTTCATCACTTTTTCTTGTATGTTAGGTTGCCTACGTTAAAGCTTAAAATCATTAATTTTTAATTTATTTTGTCAAACCACGTTTACCTTTCGGTGTCGGGTTAAAATCATTAATAATAAGTGTTTATTTATTAAATTTAATAACATTGTGTGTTGTTTGTAGTTTAGTGTAGTAAAGTTGGTAGTAGTTTTAAAATTAGGCAACCAATATTACTCTAAAATAGTTGTCATAAAAAGACGCCTCACAAATTTCGCGCCTAACCGATCACTTGCAGTTTGAAGTTTATTCAAGTCTGTGCCAATTCCGCAATGAAGAATCTTCATCCAAAGAATAACAAAGGTAAGAACTTCTATTACATATTCTATTCGATGATAATAAGTAACAGTATCACGAATTTCATTTATTTCAAATAATTTTGTTGCAACTTACAACAGTTGAATGAACACAAAATATCAAATGACTACATAACTAAAATATCAATTATTCATATGTCAGCGTATTCTCCTTGATAGTATTCAGTGTTAAATAAATACTGATGATGATCAAACATCCAGCTACAGTTCCCGCCACCAATCCGGGGTTTTGCCGGAAAAGTATTAACAGAAATACTGTGATTGTTAACATCACAACGGCTAAAACCGGGACAATAGGTGACGGATGTTCAAAACGCTTTGCACTATCCGCGTACCCTAAAAACATAAAAGTTAAACTCAACATGTCATTAAAGTTGTATTGTTTTACCTTGTGGGTCGTTATCTGGTCGAAATTGAATATTATGCACATTCCATTGCCAATTCGAGATAACCATTTGTTGAGTACGCGGATTTTTCGCCCATTCCCATGATTCGTTAACGGATTTCAGTAGAAATGGAGTTTCTGTCATGGCTGCGCACATTTTACCCACGTTTTACCCAATATCACTTTATTTTAAGTTAATCTGCCTCTAAACATAATTTTTTGCTCCAATAATATAGTTTTATAAGTTATTGCAATGTAATTGATGTGTGGCACTGTTGAAAGTGTTGATGAAATGAATTCAGATTGCGTCCTTAAGACTGTATGAACCGATAACCGCAAATCGACGATCATTATAAATGTATAAATGTATTCCATATTTACGCATTCGAAATACTTTGTTTCTCATTCCGGGCGTTATCAATTGAGTCCACATGTAAAGATGTGAGTGTGCGAACATTGTTGATGGTCATTAGCATGCATCACATTTATGGCGACTGAAAGACGTCAGCCATTAACAAAACTACAAAAAATTATTTCATCCAAATTAACGCATATAATGTGTTTGATTTGTCATTTAAGTTATTGATTAGGCTTAATGACTGCTACGAGCAAAATTAATTTTAGTACTCGGTAGTTGTTTGTCAAGGTTGATAAAGTTATTTGTGTTATCAATGCGATTGCAAACCGGACCGGAAAGATCTGGTAAGACTTGCGTCTTATGTTGCTTTAGTGTAGTATTGGTTGCATATGTTAAACTTCTAGAAGTTAATATTTTGTTATACGAACAAAACATTGACTGTAACAATAGATAAACAACTTGGGAGGGATTCACGATGAATTGAGTGTATTTGCGGTTTTATTCGACTTTGATATTAACCGATTTGATTGGTGTCGCCTTTACATTTGTTGTTTTTTTGCTTCGACCGTCAATGTACGGGTTTTCCCATTGATAACTGACCGCTAAACATCACGCATATCAAACGTTTTCGTTTAAAAAGAACAAAATAATTAAAACATAATTAAATATAGTTTAATAATTATCTAAATCTAGAAATTACATTGATCATTCATTGAATCATTTTTGCAGATAAATTAAAATCAAAACACACATCAGCGCATAATGCAATTATTAAGAAATTGAAATCATGTTTTGGAACTCGATTAATATAATAAATAAATCGGGGCATTTACAAAATATCCTAAAAACCACATTTGATATACATACTTCGTAATACTGACTGCGTCAGTAAACTTGAATCCCATAATCATGCGCGTAAACTGTACTTCCTGGCCTCCAATTTGTAATCGAGCTCGCGAATCGGACTTTTTCTGTTTTTGCGCATCCAAGCACGGCTCAAATGTATTCACGTTCAAGTATAAGCGGTGACCATGTAAATGTAAATATGTTAGTAAGTATAAAACGAACACGCAGACGAGATCGCATTATTGTCGCGACCGCTGACCGGTTTGGTCGAGTCCGTGCCTCAATCTGTCTCAATATAAGCGAAAAGTCAAAACAAATATTCCTCACAATCAGACACTGTTTCATACAGAATCTAAATCATTGTTTAAATATAAACACGGTGAAGTTTGGTGAAAGTTTATACATTAGAGTTAAATTTCGCATATTTATGCGTGAATTTAGTTGAAAGTTTTCACAATTTTATGCATCATTTGAGGTCAAGTTCACACCAACTTATCGATATGAACGTTATCACGTAAGTAAACCATGAATAAATTCTTCGAAATTATTGTAAATTACATTTTTATCAATGTTTTATTTTAGGTAAATTCCCAGAGTAAATATCAGCAACACATTTATAAACATCAACAGACATCAATTACTACAAGTTCCAAAGTGCAAACTAGACTTAATCATGATTTTCACAACAATGAAAGCTTTTGCTGGTGTTTTTGTTCTTGCTGGGATTATTTACACCTCAAATGGCCTGGAATTATTCCCATCTAATCAAGCAGATGTTAGTGATGCCCTCAAAGCCATCTTCAGCATGGGCGTTAAACTGGACACTCTGCTCAATACAAACTCAACACAACCACAAAACTTTTAGTTTCACCACTAAGTCTTACTTTACTCTTGGGTCAACTACTAGTGGGTGCTGAAGGCAAGTTTCGTGATCATCTCTATGATCTTATATCACTTTCCGATCAAAAATCAGTTCGTGATGAAAACGTCTACATACAATTTCACCAACAACTCGGAAATCTTCGAAAACGTCTCGAAATTGATGGCAATCGTCATTACAAACTGGATTCTAATAATGCACTGTTCTACAACAGGAATATCAGACTCCAAGATAAATTCAGCCATGAATCGATGACTTTGTATCAAACAGAACTGTTTCCATTAAATTTCAAACGTTCTGAGGTTGCTATGAAGACTATCAACAAATGGGCATTGGATCATACAAATGGATTGATTAAAAGTATTGTAGCTACACCCCCTGGACCAGAAACAGCTTCTATCTTTGCGAATGCTATATATTTCTATGGAAAATGGGCTCAGCCATTCAGTAATGAGTTGAATCATCTCGGGCCATTCTTTGTATCAAAAAGTGATCAACGCCAAGTAACTTATATGGTAAACTTCTTAGAACAGGTGCCGTATGCTGAAAGTAAACGTCTTAACTGTAAAATGTTGGTAATGCCCTATGAAAATAATGAACTGGGGATGTACATTGTTTTACCAAATGTTGGACATCCTCATGAGCATGACATCAGAGCATTTGCAAGCGAAGCAAAAATCTCTGACTATCTTCAGATGTTAGGTGACTTGAAAAATCATGAAGTCAACGTGAAAATTCCGAAGTTTACGTTGACAAGCAGCATGAGTCTGTTGAAACCTCTGCAGATGTATGCCACCTATAAGAAATATATGGAAAGTCGTCAGTTTACAACCGAACCGACCAAGTCGACTGCAACTAAGAACTTTATTGATGTATTGGAAGATAAGAAGGCTCAATTTGAATTGTTCAAGCATAACTTTAACAATTTCACGTCTGGTTCGAACATCGATGAGATTATCTTGTCGGCTGCTAGCGTTAAAGGTGATTTGAGAGTTTCTGATGTTATGCAGCATATGACTTTTGCGCTTAATGAGGTGGGAACTGAAGCGGCGGCGGTTTCCGCTGGAATTGTTGATTATAGCGGTGGAGCGAAGAATTTTCTAGCGAATAAACCTTTTCTATTCTTTATTCGCCACGAAGCTACAGCAGCGACTTTGTTCTGGGGAACTATTACAAACCCATCCTAGGTTTTCTTAATTTATCAGCAGTTATTGAATAAGATTAGTTTAAGATGCAGTATTTAATTCTTTTATAATAAAGAGGCTTTGTTTTATAATTATACAAACAGTCATTTCTGTGTAATTTATATAAATCAGATTGATGAAACCATAAACGTCTAATAAACGTCTAAAAATGGTCAATTTTTGTAACATATACAAAAATGTCGCCAAAATCAAAACCAAAACGAAATATTTTCACCTCTGTGTTTGGCCATTTTCTTAAACTAGCTAAAAGCCGCGCCCATGAACACAAGAAAACCAAACGATTCTGGTGTGTGTTGTATGGTATCTTCCTGGGTTTATTCTTCTACGAATTGATATTGATTGATTTGAGTTTCACCCCTTTTACGACTTTATTCATTGGTGGTACAATAACGTTAATGCTTGCCGTGGGTATAGCAATATCATCTCAAATCCGTTGTATATCGATTCTTGCCTTGCCCACCTTTGTGGGACAATCCGGAAGAGGTGTTCTCAAGAGTCTCGTCTTTGCTTATCTACTCTCAGGTCCAATTGAGAATCTTACAGTAAATGGCAAAGAAGTAGTGAGGGTTTTCGGATGCACCACATCATTGACTTTTAATCTAACAAAAGCAAGATTTGAACTCATGTTTAAACCATTCGCTGAAGCTCTGATGCAAATGAAAGGTGATGCTAACGAAATTAAAGACACCTTGCGGTCAATTCGTGATGTAACAGCCCCTTTAACTGGAGAAATTGAAGATGAGCAAGAAATGAAAAAATTAAAAGAGGAAAATGATTACATGGATGCTTTACAAGGAAATTCAAAATCATCTAAGGAACTAGACGATAAATATAAATCAAAAGGTGAATTAGTCGAAGCGAATAAATTCGAAAAGAATTATTTGAAGAAAATAGAAGCAAGGTGTCAGGATCAATTCTCGAAAGCTGCAGCCAAGTGTAGAAAGGTTTTTGGTAAAGGTTATGATATTTGTTATGAAACTGTATCTTGGGTAGCAGCTTGGATATTGTGTTGGCCCATGAAATTGACATTCATTTGCAATATTGTTGAGTCTATCGGAGGAATGGGTAAATGTGATCCGAGTAAACATGTAGAAACAGGCTTTGGTAAAGGGTATGAATATTTAAAAGCATCTAGAGGTACTCTAAGTGATAAATTCAAACAAGTAAAAGTACAGTATAAGGTACCCAAGATTAAAACACTTGTTGATGTAAGAGATGCCACTGCAACAGCCAAAAGTGTCATTCATGATGTAAACAGCAAAAAAGTAATTCTGAAAGAAATAATGCTGATTTGCAAGCGATTACTGGCATTTGTTTTCTTAAGAATTATATTAAGTAGTCAAAAATATCATGATAAATATTTGAAGAATATTGAGTATGATAATAAGTATATTACAAAATATTTCAAAAAAATTGATGCAAGAAGACATGCTTTAGATAAACACACTTTACTACCACTGAAAAAAGTTGAGAAACAAGTATTGGTTGAACCATGGACCAAAAAACTTTTAAAAGAAGAGAAACAGATGATTATACCACAATTAGTTAAAATGTTACTTGAAATGGTTACTGCCACTACTGTTATTCTCCTAGATAGGCTTTTCTATGAAGCATTGGATCTTGTGGCTAGACATGCCAGAGTTGAGTTTTACCAAACTGGTCATCATGATATGATGTTGCAGATTAAAGGCACTGGTATGATTGCTAATCTTCTTAGATCTGTAGTTAAAGGTTTCAACATCAAAAAGAGAATCAAATCAATGAGAAGCAACGTTGCGTGTCTTCCAAAACCTAACCTGCTGAGCAAATACTACATACTAAAGATTTATGGAACCTATTGTGCCATTTTGATTTTTATTTTCTTACAAGGATATTTTGCAAGATTACGACGTCCGATCTGTGCATACTTTTATAGAAAAAGAGAAAAACGTCGTGTTTTATTTCTGTATAACCAAACTTTAAAAAGACGCATAGGTTTCTTCAGATACATGAAGAAAAAAGTCAAAAAGATGGCGAGAGAACAAAGATTAGAACACAACTTGAATGTTTGTGCTGTATTGAGAATTCGTTTTCCTACAAAATGTGGATGGTTGCGTTTCTTTAAACTAGCAAGAAGACAATGTATCGTGTGTGGAGAACCAGAACCCAGAAAGAAGAGTGGGATACCAGGAGATTTTGAAAAGTGTAAAACACCGAATTGTTACGTTGTGCATTGTTTAGAGTGTTGGAACGACATGGGAAGAGTTTGTTTTGCTTGTTTAGAGACTCAATCTGATAGTGAGAGTGACGATAGTGATGAGGGTCATCATGAATTCGACTAAAAATAAAATAAATCAGAAATTAAAGTAATATTTAATTTTTTATTATCTTTCTCGAAAATCTCCATCTGTGGTTGACACTAATGAATGTGAAGTAGTCGAAGTTAACGATTCCAACGAAGAACTAATCCTTCCCATTCTTAATGCATTAGAAGGATGAGAATACTGCAGAGATAGACTTCTAATCAACGGGTTAAGCCGGTCATTCTTTAAAACGTTCTCTTCAATTCGAGCCACTTCATCGGGAGGGTTTAGATCTGGTTTTGAAAAATATTCAGGACGTAATTCTGGTATAATCTGTGTATAGTTATCTACATCAGCGTAATAATCTACAGTTTCCGGTGGAGAATCAGCGGATCTTGATGATACTATACTAGTGCTGGTTGAGTTAGGTATACGATTTGCTTTTGAAATATCAGAGAAATGTGCCACCATTGAAGGTGTGTTATAATTTAAACCATTTTGTGGATATATTTTGGGTAACACTTGGTAACTACCCTCTGAGGAAGAAGATGAGTATATGCTGGATAAAGACGAACAATCTACTTTATTCTGAAGCACTGCTAGGTTCTTCATATAGGCGTGTTCCATTGAAGATGTTGCAAACCTCCTTGGAACATCAGCTACTGGTTCATAGATTTTTTCTTCAGAAGAAGGAAGATCAGCAAAGTCAACTATGCGTGTTCCGGACTCACAGGGTGAATGTTTTTCACTATGAATTAAAACTAGGTTAGGTTGACTATCTCTTGAGGTACCTGGAATAGCATCGTCGATTGGATACACAGGAACAACCTTTTCCACTTTCTTTTGCGGTTCGTCATCATCTGAATTAGTAAAATGGACTTTTGTTGCACCAATAATTTCCTCAGATATTTCATCATCACTTTCATCATTTCGGTAATTTTTCAGGAGATATTTCCATTAGGTTATGATGCATATTAAACTCTTTCTTTACTGTAAGAGGATTAATCCGTACATTTTTCTTTAGATTAATTCTGCCCAATTTGTGTTCCACAGGTTTATTATTGTTTAAATCAATTCCCGAAAAGTGGTTATAAGTTTGTTTAATATTAACCAAATCAGACAACTGTTTCAAACCCTCCCTTTCATTGGAAGCATGTTCTGCTGTAAAATTTTTGATCCATTCACGTTTCCATGATGGCCATATGGATAATGAAAGATCTTGACATTGGGAACTGTCAAAATGCTTTTGCATTTTTGATGCTTTTATAACCTCTCTTTCCTTTCCTGGGTTTATAACCATTTTTAACTTTTCTTCTACAGTCTCCCTGTCTCTGGTTGTACTAGTTTGTGCGTCTGGTTTATCATCAAAGGTAATAATCTTTTTTGATTTGCGAAGTAGTGGCATTGTTGATTCTTTTGCAGTATCCATCGCAAAAGGATTCAACTGGTACTTCCCCAACTGCATCCAATTCAAAGGTCTCGAGTAGATTTCTTTGTATAACTCGGTTAAATAATTAGTTCCTTTAATTAATTTTTCCAAAAGGCCATCATTGTCTGTATTTTTTGCATAGGGTCCGGTATAGTTCCTCTGTCCGTTTGAATAGCATCGTCGTACCGAGATGGTGGACTTCTTCTCGGTAACCGCACACTTTCGTAGGCGATGTGTTAACCATGAGAGGGGCCCGCTGTCGCCGGCGCGTCCGACTGTTGGAAAAACGTCAACATAATCATCAATGAGGCAAAAATAAACTGGTTTTACTAGATGATTTACTTGATAATCTAGAGGTGTCTTAGGCGCATCATTTTCGGACGTAGAAACCTCGTCAACCACGTGTTGCAGAAGTTTCTCCAACACAAACTTGACATCTTCAATGGTGTCATTCGTAGAATCTCCTTGTTCATTGGCTTTGACGTAATCCTGGAATGCGGCGCTGTGTTCTAATAACTCCCGTACGATTATATCAATATCATCTCTGAGTCTCTCTTGGGTAATTTTGGACGGTTTAGCAGATTCAGATGAAGAGGAATAACGTTTCTCGAAGATATCTGTATTGTGGGAAATCATTTCATCTTCTTTAAGGTCTTTGATTTGTTCTGGGGTGAGATACCGGTCGATCATTGTTTTGATTTTTTTGTTATCAACGAAAACATTTGCATGCGCCAAATTTTCCAAATCAAAAACTTCATCATCAGTTACAGTTGGTACAAAGTCAACTTGCTTCTTGAATTCGTCTAGGAACATGTGTTTAAGTTCGTGAATTGGATTGTTTCTTGGACCTATTTCTACAATTGCCGTTTCTTCAGGTTTTGGTTTTTTATTGTCTGAAAAATCTTTTGTTTTCTTTTTATTATATGCAAATACATCTTCATACTTAAAATCTACTTCCTTTTTCGGCGTTTCTGGTAATTTAGGGGGGACAGGAAAAAGCTCTTTGTTTTCTAAACTTTTAAACGGATCAATTGTTATTTTATCATTATTAATTTTTGCTGCATTGTCAATTGGTGTTTGTCCCTGGTTCAAATAAGTTAATAGTTTGTTTTTGGCAGTTTCTAACAACTGCAGAGTTTTGTCAATGTCAGCTTTAACATCTTCTTTTAACATTTTCTGTGTCAATTTTAATTGTTCTTCTTCCGCGTACTTTAAAGATGCTTTAAAAGCATCAGGTGTGTTTGATGGTACTTTCATATGTAATTTTAATTCCGATCGGGATGTATAATTGGATAAACTTAAGTCACTCGACTGTGCTATATCAGGAGCTATATTTTTTGATGAAGTTGATGAACACGACGCATCCTCCTGTTCAGTTTCACTAATTTTCGATAACAGACTATCAGTTTTTGGTAAAATTGATGAAGCAGTTTCCAGTAATATAATTTTCTGAACTTCTAACTCTTTGTGGAAATCCTCAATCAAATCTGTTGAAGATTTAAAACTGATTCTGCTTACAACTTGATTTAAGATCTCCTTAACTAGAGTCTTTGACGTTTCATCATATGATGGATCCATTTCTCCAGTGATTTGCTCAATCATATCTTTAGTATCTAAAGAGATTCGAGAATTGTTGTCAAAATCAAAGGATATTTCTGATGTTGCAACAATTGATGCTTTATCTTCATCATCACGTTCAACCATAGGTATAACATTTGTTACAAACTCATGACTGAGTTCTGTTTGATCAAAGATTATATTAGATTCAATACAAAGTCGAAGGTTGATTTCGTCAATCAATAAAGCGTTATCGTAATCTTCCGGCTTGAAAAAAAAGTACCTTGATTATTTTTGTTTGAAATTTAGGGAATTAACATACCAAAACATTATTGACGGGTTTAATAATAGTTTCCACTCTTTGTTCTGATCTAGTAGCATCTCCATTGAGGAGATATAACGGCATCTGGGAAACTTGAAGGATATTTGTTCCAGAAGGGACTTTAACTGTTCCAGAATAAATAGTTTCTTTTTGGTCGCTTTGTATCAAGTGCAATCCTTTTGTAAAATTGTTTTCAGATCTGTGAAATTATAAAATGATACATAACCTTACTTTGAATCTTTTGGAGAAAATTTATTACTGATTTGTATTGTGGTCTTTTGGCGAAACTTTCAGCTCCACATCAACCTTGATATCCTTCCCTTTAACACCTCCAGGAAGAGTAATAGCCATTCCCAAGTCATTAGATGATTCTTCCTTGTTTGACACTGGCGAAGCATTTTGAAACGATTTCAAAATGGAGTCAGTATCAAGATCAAAAGATTCGCAAAATTTCGTGTATGAAGGTATACAGTTTAAATCAACCAATTCTGAAGCTTTCAATTCTTCAAAACTATTTCTCTCTAATTTTAATCAAATACTAATAAGTACAAACGCAATAAAATATTAAAGTATTACTTATGTTTGATTTGGACTTGAGTAACGCAAGAAACCAACTTTTCCAAATTGACAATCGACTTTGTTTTCTATTCTTCATTGTAGTCTTTCCTACTCTCATTCGATTCTTCCATTTACTTGTGTTATTTTCCTCTATAAATTTAGTTTCCTCATCTTTGTCGTCAATCACAGTTTTACGCAAGCGCAATGACCAGAACTTCCGTTTGGTATTTTCGCTGTTTGGTGCTAATGAAATGAAGTTTTCATCCATGATTCTACCTAAAATTTGGTTCGAAATGTTTGGAATCTTAATCGAATGACATTTGAAGTATTATTGAACGCGTTCAAGTTTGTTTATCACAGTTACTTGATTCCCCGTGTGCATTAACAAACCTATAATGTTTCCGATAAACGATAATATTTGAATCATAAGTTCTAAACATGTAAGTCATTAGTAAGTCACACATTGTTCTTCGTAATCACAACATTTAAAGATAACAACCGTTTTTGTTTATTTTCAAAGACAGTTCAATGTGTGAGACCTAACTTAAGTCTGTTTATCTTAACCTACTAAACGTTTACAACTGCGGTGATCAATTAGTTTATAATAAAAAAAAGTTTTTCTTCACTTTGTTTGGGTTAGTAACAGTTGTGTTGAAATTTAATGTTTTTTTATAAGTTCTTATGCGAAGCACGTGATTACACATGGCTTAAGTCAACCCAAACTGACTTAAGTCATGCGGTCATTCCATAATTGTATTCAAGCGTGTGGAGACTTAAACAGTGGATACAATATATTGGTTTCTTATGGAAAATCAAGTCTGTGTTCTGAATGACCGGATGTTGAGTTGAAAACAACGAAATACAAATTACACATTCGTTAAAACGTAAATTTAATATTTTCTGTTGGAATTACTAAGAAAGCAAACTGTAAACAGTTCTAAAACAACGTTTACAAGACTTAATACAAGTTGAGCATGCTTGTAATTAATTATAATATGCGTGAAACATAAATGAAGAAATTTCTTCTTTCACTCATTTGTTTTACGAGTTCTTATTTTTAGTGGTTGTAATATTGTGGTTTTGTTTTTATTCCAGCTTGCATCGCGCGCCGTTCTCGAGATACGCACGTCGGTCGGTCGAAGAGTACAACCAATCAAAGCACAGCGCTTATCTCAAGTAACTTTGCGGGATATGAGTTAAGAGTGCTGCGAATGCGCACAGTCGACCGGCGACGCTCACGCTAGTAGTACGTGTGTGTAGTGCATCTACTTCAAGCGTGTCTTTACGTTTACGCATTTTGCGGTTTTTGAAGAAACCCACAAATCGCATAAAATTACAATAAGAAAGGAGAGACATTTAAGTGACAATTGAACGTTATAAACATCTCTAAATATCTCATTTAAACACAAGAAGTGTTTCGATTTATTGCTTGTGTTTTGCTCTCGGTGTGAATTGTTTTCGTCGCGCTCGGTTTCACTAGTCCACTGAGACTAGACGCGTTCCAGACTTGATAAACTCGCGAATATAAACACGCAGGTAAGAAAAAGATGCTCGCGTGAGACAGTAAAACAGTGAAATAGTGCAACAGTAAATCTGCGCGGCAGGATAATTGGCTTTCTCGGTGTCTTCTTCGCGGCTGGCGCCAGTCAACCAGCCAGCAAACATCGCACAACTAAATTTAGACATCGAGACGTGAAGAAATAAACCATCCGCTAAAAGGTTAGTAAAATATAAAATCTTTTATTTTCGTTTGTTTTCATCATTTTTTGTCTTGCTGATAATTTTGATAATGTGATATGCATGTACCCAACGCCGGTTGTTTTTGTTATGATTGACAACCCGATCCGAAACACGCGACGCACTTAATTGGAACCATCGAAAACTGAAACGATGTAAAAGAGTAAAATCCGAGACACAAAAATAAAATAAAAATCAAAACATGCAACATGCAAACGAAACGGGCAGAAAAAAAATATCTCACCTGTTAGCTGACCAAAAAATGAAGCGCACCTTTTAAAAAATCGTTGGCCATCAAAAACATCTGCATCCTTTCGAAAAAACAAGCAACTCTAACATTATTTATCATTTTTAACGCTTCAATTTTTCATAATTTTAAATCAATTTTAATATTTTCTACTTTTTCTACTTGAAAAATAAAACCAACGTCATTATTTCATTATTAAAACATAAAAAGTGTCCACCACTCGTTGTCGGCGGAGCTGTGAAACTCGTGAAAGCTTTATAATGTCCGTCTGGACGCCGCGTGTGCAACTCGTTGCTTTGTAGCTTTGCGCACATTAATGCGCGCGTGCATTACGCGCAAACCATCAATTATTATGTCTTATATCATTATTACCAACGCCGCCGCACAACAATGCCACTCAACGGACCGCCACAATACTGTCACGCTTAAGCGAAATATACAAAGTGTCCTCAGAATTTTCATCAGTATTGAGGTTAGATTTGTTATTTTAAAGATAAATAATGAAACACTCTGTATACTTTAGATTAATGCGAGGGTGTGTTCCATGCCAGACCAAATACGTTATAATTTTCAATTAAAAAGCGACCATTATGTTATTCCATTCTAATCTAACTCGTTGACTCATGTTATCATAAATATCTTTGCACTCCATTTACAATTCGCGTGTTCTATGGCCAGTTCAAAGGAAACTACATAATTTGATTTTATTCTTTATGGCTCCACGAGTGTAATTTGCATTTCATTTGCTGTGCTAAACAAATTCGCCACGTGTACGGACATAAATCAAATAAATCAGAAAAATTATTATGATTTAACAGCTTTTGAATGGATTTTTATTTTTACCTCAGGCGTCGCAGAAATTACTTCTAATTGATTGACTTCCGGTTGTTTTATTTATTTCGAGTATTTGTTTTGTCTACTTTTTCTCTGATTGGTCGTTGTGGCAACTTGTTGATTTCCTTATGTCGGTCAAGATCCACTGAATCATTTAAAATGCCCATCTGATTGGAAGACAACCGCATTGCTTGCGGGTTTTGCGGCTGCAGAGATACCCTTTACCTTTTTACCTTCCTCTTTTTTTCTCTCCTTCGATTGCTGTACCGACAGGTGTCCATCGTTTGGGCCGGCGCAGCGCGCACAGATTCGGTCGCACATGTTGCGGCAGCTGGCGTTTCAAACTGGCTTCATCGGCTTCATCTTCGCGCTTCACACACGAAGAGACAACACTCGGGAACGTGATACACATTTACGTAACGCCGCACGGCACCGGTGCCAGTGTGGTATCTTGTCTTCGTTTTGTTTAAATCGCTCGAATCTGTTGAAGCGGTGCATTGGTTTAACGTGCTTTCTGTGGTTGGCAACACGCACAACACGCTGGTTTCTCACACCTGGCCTCATCATCATTATTTTAAAGCGCGAACATTTCGCAATCAAGGTTTCAAAAGCACTGCAACCTGCAAAATACTTAAATTGAACATTACATAAATCTATTAACTTCTTTTCCACTAACGCCATCTTTACGCATGTATTAAGATTAAATATTTAGTTCAAGCATTTTATTTGTTTTCAGGAGCTTACAATAAATAATTTAAAATTACAAAATATAATACATATCATCTATATATAAATCACAGAATGTTATAAATTTAAATCTCGATGGTGCTGAGATAATCTCCAACGTTTTCGATGAGCACATCAACAGATTCGGACTTTTTGTAGGTGTTCTCCATGCGATTAGTAGTGCTCCTAATCACATCCCACGCGAACTCTACGTCTTCCGATCTGGTGCTGTGATTCACAGCAAAACGAATTACGTACTTGTTGAGATAATGTGCAGGCGTCAACATAATCTTCTTATCTTCATTAATAAGACGTCTTAGTTCTTCTGTGTCCTCATCGCCAGTTTTCAACGCGAATACAACCAACCCAAACCCGGAAGTTGCAATTCGGAATCGCTTATCTTGCGTCATTAACTTCTCGAAGTACTGCCCCAACATAACACTTCTTCTGATATGTTCTTGCACACCTTTTACACCGAAAGATTTTAGGGTCATCCAAACTTTTAAAGCTTTAAATTTACGTCCGTTTCCAATTTGTAGATGGGTGAAATCAATACCCTTGTTGTGGTTATGTTTGAGGTAAACCCTGTCGACATACATGACATCAGAAAGAGCTGTGGTGTCTTTCAACCAGTAAGCCACCACATCGAATGACATTAGGAACCATTTATGTAAACCCACTGCAAATGATTTTGCGTAGTCTAGACCGTTTGAGATGTAACGTAATTCTGGGCAGGTTAAAGCAGCTCCTGCATATGCTGCGTCTACGTGCATCCATACATCATGCGCTTCACATACTGGTCCTACTTCACTGAGGTCGTCCCATGAGCAAGTTGTTGTTGCACCCATAGTAGCCACATAGAAACAAGGGATCAGTCCTTGGGCAATATCAGATTCAATAGCAGATTGTAAGATTTCCGCGGTCACTTTGCCTTCTTCATTGCAAGGGATAATTCGGGTGATTAAAGCCGTCATACTGCCAACTCGTTCTACAGAGGAATGAGATTGGATTGAGGTGTAGATTGTTAGTTTCGAGGATATTTGAGATTCTGACCAATTCGGGCGTAGTTGAAGCCATTTATCTATTGTTGCTTTTCTTGCTGCTATGCAAGACAAGAGGGTTGATTCAGTTGAAGTATTCTACAAAAAAAAAAAATTAAATTAAATTAAATTTAGAATTTTTTTTTGAAAAAAAAAAAATATTTACTTGGAAAACTCCTCCACCATGACCATCAGAACTATTCAGAAACTCTTCAGGGATGTTCATCATCTTCCCTAACCAATTTAAAACCACGGTTTCCAATTCAGTCATAGCAGGACTAGCTTCCTATAAATTTTAAATAAAAACTTTTAAAGATTTGTTTAAAAAAAATGAAAAATATTAATTACCCAGTTAACTCCAACATTATTGATACCAGCCATCATTAGTTCAGCAACCATTGATGGATAACAATTCCCAGCTGGAAAATAAGCATGAAAGTGTGGCGAGGCCCAATGTGTCACTCCAGGCATAATTTTCTCACGAAATTCTGTAAAGATATCTTCAAAATTCGTTCCACTTTTAGGGCATTCTTCTTCAGTGAGTGGTGTTAAATATCCGGGTTGAACTCCAGGTAAAACATTCCTTTAAAACACAATCATTAACAATATCACTTAAGTTAAGTTGACTTAACTTACTTTTCACCAACTGTTTCCAAGTAATTTACAATGAAACTCGAAACCTTTTCGATTGCTTGTAGAAATTCGTTCTTTTCCATTTTTTACTATTATGTCACTTGCTTCTAGTCTCTGAACTAACTTGAGACTGATATGAAACACCTACCAACTTGCGATTTTAAATACCTAGGTGCTATCTGGTTGGTGACGCGCGAGGCGACGGTAAATTTTCAAAAAACTGCGAGTACCTAATCACGCCTTCAACCTGTCCTGAAAATATTTGTGCATATATCACACAAAATAGGTTATAATTTTAATACAAATGGCTTTTGAATACGTTTAGATATCGAAGTTTATTTAAATGTATGCAGATGTATTTTTTCTTGATGTACACTGGTGATACTAATCTACAATTCTACAAATGTAATGCTTAAGTAGTAAAACAGCGACGGTAATTAAGTAATTCCAGTTAATTAATTTGACGCACGTTTTACACGAGTTGTGCATTACGTTTTAGTTTCTTAAGTTTTTGACACTTTTGCAACGGAAATCCGCATTGAACACAAACAAATAACGAATTAATTCTTGCATCAGTGCATTTTAATTTGCGATAATTGTCACATAATCACATTAAACGGAAAAATAAAGTAATTAAACATTATGACAAACATATATTTATACCTTGATTTGTTTATTTTTTTGTGGTTGCAGAACAAAGTTTTCATTCAATAATAAATTTTATGACTTTATTTTCATATTAAGTTTCCAAATTTTATGCTTTATGAAACATGAATGAATCGTGAATTTTAATTTTTGATATTATGTTACTTATATTAAATATGAAGCACCTGCTAAAATTTTTTTGATAATCTGATCATCTAATAAATATTAAATTTCATTTTTTAATAGAAAAAAAGTGAAAATTTGCAGGAGTTTTAGGAATAGTGTTGGTTGTGATGATGAATGAGTAAAGAACTGCGTATAAAAGTTCTGCGAATGACCTGCGCACATAAAACGCAAAATAAACCGGAAATTTGGTAGTTTTGTAAGAGCTGCGCCCGTAAGATATTGTCCTTTGTGGTCGTGGCAAGTCGTCTTGGTCGCTTTTGTCGCGCTCGACCCTAACCGCAAACACACTGACAGCGCACACATAACCACAATCGCGATCGCAATCGCATCGACGCTGACGAATCGCGGCTGAGTCGTAAACACTTTATTTGCACTAAAACTACGTTAACTTCAAGTAAAACTTCTTAAAAAGGATTACAAAGAACTCCTACATACACATACAGATTTCTTAAAGTGTTTTATTATTTATTAAATTCTTCAATTAATTATATTCTTACAGTAAACATTCATATATTAGATTTCGAGTAGACAAAACAGGAAGTAGTCACTCATATTCACATTCAACTATGTATTCTACGTCCAACTTCCGTCTTTCAATAGAAATATTTCAAACAATAACACAACTGACTTATTTTTATTATTATTCATGTGATAGACCCCTTTGTGTATAAATAGCTGGCGTATTTGTGCATGTGTGTGTGTGTGTGTGTGTGTGGCGCCATCTGGTCAACGTTCTTTGTTCGATAATCTTCGGATGACCGGATAGATTATGTTAGTCGTGTTATGAACGTGCACATCTGCTTTGATCCGATCTGCTTGATATGTTTCATCTTGTGGATCTGGATTGTCTGCTTACGACGCGAAATTAACACTAATCAATGGCGACATGAGATTATAGTCATAATAATAATATTATCACATCACATCTGCATAAGAAATATGAAAAAAAAAACATTTTGTTTTATTTATCAAGTGTGTAAAGTAATTCGTTCAAATGAAAAAAGTGTTAAAGTGTTAGTGTTAAAAAGTTACATTGTTGATGCTGTTTATTTAAAATATTAGTTTAAAACTTGTATTTTACATATTATACATTATTATTATTATTAAAATAATAGCATAACATTAGGAATTATGAAGTTATTTATTACTTATCAAAAATCTACGTCAAAAAATAACCCAATAAAGGTGTTCTGCGAATTTAATAACCTGCATGCATATAAATTTAAAAAAATGTCACATAATTCAATGTCCTTTTCGGTATTCCAAATAACACGTATTTATTTGTATTAAGTGCAAATAAACGATCATTTTTTAGACGACACGGGTTTATCCACCTTGTGTGTTGTGCAACTTACGAGTAAGTGAGTATATGTTGCAGCACGTAATAATTGCTCATTGCTATAACTTACGTACCGCCGTACTTACCTTACCCTCATACGCGCATGCTGGTCTAACAACTGGTCTATTTTCGTATCGAATATTTCATTCCTTGAAGTGAACACCTTTCGTTACATCGAACGTCTTACAATGTTTCCATGTAAAAGGTTACATGTTGCGTATTATGTAGGGAAAACCTACTACGTTGTTTGTTGCATTGCGTTGTATAAATTAGTGCGTCAATTACCCGTATTGATGGCATTTAATGCGATTATCTAAAGCTGCTCATAATGCAGATGCACTGGACTAAATTATTCTCATGATGCAAAAAATAAAATCATTTATTTGCATATATTTTGATTTTTTTAAAATCCATGTTGCGATTTTACATTTAAATCTATTAGGGGAAGGTAGCATAATTTGGACCAGCGCCTAAGTTGGACCACCACGATATCCGCGGACTGTTGAAGTTTATGCAAAAATTGACTGGCCCCTTGTTTTACTCGTATTTATAAACAATTAATGCAACTATTTGGGTTAAAACTTGCCGCGTGCTTTCGTCGTGACAACAACTTCGTGTATCATTGATTATCAAATCTATTATAACGACGTAAGTGCAAGAGCTGTCAAGCCGTTAAAACGTTAGTTTTACCGATTATTATTTTATCATCAGAAAGCTTCTTTATTTATCTATAATTTACAGTATTAATTTTGAGAGATTATGTTATATTAAGATTGTTGTTGATCATTATATATAAATTCTTCAAGTTGCCCAAGTTGGACCGAAGACAAACACCGGAGTTTTACAGGGAAAACGTATATCATTTTTTCGACCTCCTAGAAAAGCTTGTGGACGAGCACAAATCTTCGAAATGATCCACTGTATGAAATGCCGCACTTTGGTTTATACAAAATGTGCTTGTGTTACAGCTAAAACTAAAATTTACTATTGTGTCAATTGCTGTTAAAAAAGCATGGTCCAATTTAGGAAACCGCGCGGTCCAATTTAGGAAACCGGTTTCTTAATTTGGACCAAAAACACAATTTTTTTAAATTGAAATTTGAGGGGTATAAATATAATTTTTACTTAAACCAAAAATATCATTTTGTTGGTAAGCCTTGTGAGTTACTTTTCCGCTACTTAATTTTTATTGACAGTTTATATGTGGCTCTATAAATCAAAAAATATAAAAATGGTCCAAATATGGCTACTTTCCCCTACGTCGCGTTTTTATAATTTTTTTTGCCTATAAATTTAAAATCTATAGTATAAAAATGAATCGCAAATTCTGTTGGTAAGCGCATAACTCAACAACGCTTAGACCAATTTGGCGAATTATTTATTAAAAATGTTTGTTAAAGTCCACGGATGGTTTTTACGGCGAGAAAAAATCGAATAATTGTCGGGAAAACCCTAAAGACAGCCCTTTTCTATAGGATAAAAGTTGGCATTGAGATTCAATCATAGTTATAGTTGCATAGTTGAATCCGAGATAGCGCGCTGAAGTGCATTGTTAGCAATTCTTTATATAATTAATTTTTTTAAAATAAAATTGCGAATCATATTGATAGAATTGACACGTACTATGTCTAGAACAAGAGAGTAAAAACGAATTACATTTTTATTAAACACTACCCGGACGAAATCGCGTCTAAAAGCTAGTTTAATATAATGTAGGATTTATTTTATTTTCCAGTATATTTTACGAGTTATAAATTGAATATTTGTTTAATGTTCGGAACTAATCTTTAAACTTTTCAAACTTTTGAAATGTCATGAAAATCGTGGCATTTTTAAATTATTGCACTTATAATACTTTCGACAGTTTTATTATAAAAATTTCCAAGAACTTTACTGCGACGCAGTATATAATTTTTTTCTCTTCAACGCAACTAGTCTTCATTAAAACTATGCGTTTTTTGTGTTTAACCATTATTGAGATAACGGATAACATTTGTAACACCCGTGACTCACAAAATGTGGCATTGCAATGTAATGTAGTAAATAGAAATAGAAAAAAGGGAAACAAAGTGCAGGCCTACCGGGGTGAAATAAAATATCGCTTGCGTCAAAACTGGCTATTAAAACAAATGGCGCGTGGCTATTACGACTGTTCTATTGCCCATCATTCTAACCTCACAAACGGTCGACCATTCAAACACTCAACTAAGTATCTTATAATAAAAAGCACATTGTATATTTTTCAATTTCAATTGTTTCGTCTAAATAAGTTTAACTCCCGAACTCTGATAAGGGTTGATCTTTTCCAAAGGCAAGTTGCTATGGGCGATGACACGTGGCGACAAGCGATGACCCTTTATCAACTAACATCTTCAGTTTTTCTTTCTTATTTTTCTTTTTTGCTTGTGATGTCTACACCAGCTAATAACAAGCACGTGGACACTCAACTTCTGTTTCTCTTTGCTTCCGTTTAAAAAAAGGTTTTTTTGGCGACATTTTAAGGGATGCTTTTTATTTTTTGCTTCTTTTGTGTCGTTCAAGTTCTGTTACCAAGGAAAACGTGCTATTTCCGAATCTAAGGGGAAGTCCAGAAGGACAGTATGATGAGCTGTGCTTGTGCTAGGGGTGATGTGGGGGTTTTCTTCTATCACCAAAGAAAGGAGATACACGAAGCTTTAAATCTTAGGGACGCGAAGAGGAAAACGGAAAGTGGGCAGCGAGCGTGGAAAAGGGGATGGCAATATACGTGCGGCCATTAAATTGGATTTTTAGTATAGTCGGCCACTCTCCCGCACACCATCCCCATCAATTTGCCTAGACTAACAACTCTATTTCACCCTCTTGAGCACCATACTCGAAAGTTTCAATATTTCAAGATTTCATATTTTAAAATTATTCTTGTATAGATACATTGTAAATATCTCATGTTTGGTTTGACATTATTGTGTATGTTGGGTTGTCTATGCGCGACATAGCTCTGAATATATTCATTTCGTGTAAACAAACAATATATTCATGTCTGTGGGTTTTGTCCCCGTCGTTGGCATCCGGTGTGAAAATTTCCGAAAACGTCACTTTCGACCGCGTTGTGCTAGCATATTGTTATTGTTGCTGTCTGAAGGGGGTTTGGTTTAAAACGGAAGCGTCTGAGACGGACGCAGCGGAATATGCACGGCGTCGGATGTATGCAACCAAACACACAA